AGAGTATTTAGTCTTAGCGTAGAAAAAAAATAATGCATGAAACGATTCTAGACGACTATGGACAGAGTCACGATATGGGCAGATGCAAATTAACGTTGGGGCATAAAATGTTTATTATGTGTCTAAAGGTTACATTACACAATGGAAACATTATAATTAACGAGCTCACTCCAGCTTCGAAGCAAAACAATCATTAAATTACGCGATACGAATAGCCTCAATAGATAGTATGCCGCTACACATAATAGTTTAATTTGAGCAGGCGTTAGAAATAAACTATCCAAAGAAATCTTGTAGCAGTTCGCCCGGTACAAGCTTCAACAAAAAAAAAAATTATTATTGAAGGACTGCTTTCGTTCCTGCAAAAGCGCTTTGCCCCGCAACGATTCGGTTCCTAGACTTGTTAGAGAGGTGCTCCTCCACTAACCGTGGCCCAGAACATCTCAAAAATTAACCTGATTACGAGAATATGATAGTCGACCAAAACTTCGTCGGAGCAATCAAATTTGGTCGACAAATGGGCTAATATAACCCTTCTCCCTTTATAGCGTTGGCAGATGTGAAACAACTCTAGTTTACGCGTACTGAAGTGAACCCCTGCTACCTCAACAATCATCACCTCTTCCCATCATGAATTTCTCATCAGAGGCTCCCCATTGAACTACATCTTCTTTAAGGTTAGGTTTTTCATGTCTACTTTTTTCTTCATCCCGCAGCCGTTGTCACTCTCTCAGTGTCTGCCCCTCATGCTCACCTTCTGTGTTCACGGAATCTTTCTGGGGTTCCTCAGCGCCGGAGGACCAACCGTACACGGTTCTACATAGCTACACAACAGCCGTGCACCAAAAGCCAAGCTATTAAATGAGATTGGCGTCGATATGCTCTTTTTGCTAGTCCCAAGTGCGACCGACATTCAGGAGCGAGTCTTGCCTCCCTTACCACTCGCTTCCTTCTGTCGTCGATGATGTTCACACTGACGACTATCTATCTGCGAAACCATTTCTCTCAACTACTCGAAGAAATTCAGGTCGAGATTTGACTTTTTTGCCAAAAGAGGAAGAAGAAGAAGCGAGCAGTAGAAAATGTTCTCAACTTTTCTGCCGATTGCGTCCCAGTTCCGCAAGTCAATTTCTTCTCGAGAGTCCATTAGCGTGAAGGATTTTGGGGACGGAAGACTTCTACTTAAAAGGAGCCGGCTCGAAAGGAGAGCCAAGGAAAAAGAGTAAAAAGTCATGCCCAAGGTTTGGGTGGATATCGCTCGCAGTCCCGCGCGTCATCGCAGCTGAACGATTTGGCCCTCGGTAAAAGAAATACCGCTGCTTTCCAACCAAAGCAGCAAAAAGTAGAATTCACCATTTGCGGAACGCGTACCCCACTGCGCGAATCATTTCGTCCTTAAAGCCGTCCCGCGTATGACAAATGATAGAGGTAAGTTGAACACTGTGAAGCAAAAAATGACCTCGCCCATACGAACTTATTAACTAATCAGATGTAGCTAGAACCGCGCAATCCTCATGGTAAAATGGCTAGAGGATACACCTCATGATATGATGCAGCAACCCTGTATTGGTCACTTTGCTAACCATTAGCAGAACTGCAAGGACAAATTAGTAAAGTACGATCAGTTCAAAGTTATTTAAAAGCAATAAACATAACTTTAAATCAAACTGAACAACATGTACAGATTTCCGTGGAATGATTTTAGCTATCCTAAGGCAAACGTTTTCTGTGCTACATGACGATCACTTTGACGACATGAATAGTTTCCTTTGAATTCTAATATATTTATATTAACCTTAACATCGAGAGTCCTGTATACGAGCCCAGTAACATTCGTCTTCAGGAAGTAGACGTTAAATTTACGTGACTACGTCAATTCCAATACTCTATAGGTTCTTTAGGGGGAAAATTCTGAGTAAATGTTTTGAATTTTGACTCCACTAGTGCCGTTCGACAGCTTCAGCTGGACGGTTCTTAGCACGGAGTAGCGTGCACTTATGCCAAATTTCGAACTTAGACCACCTAGAAGTTGGTTATAGCGGCTGCAAGACGAAGCAAAACATTCCAGCTTCATGCTGAAATTCGCTAGGGGAAACAAATACATATTATTAAATATTTATCTATCTTCCGCGTGATGTGATAGAAATTCCCTCGAGACGTTCGGTATAGAGATTTGTTTATATGAGCTAGCGGCTGAGATTCTCTATTTTAGCCATTTTCAATTCTGACCCGTACTGTCGTCGTACAGCTGGATATAGTTTTTTTAAAGCGGCCTACGAACAGAATGCAAAACATACTCAAGCATTCAACCTGTGCGAAGAACATAATACCTATGTATATCCTCACTTCAGGCATTTTTTTCGTTTCGCCTGCATGTTATAAACGCGTATGCTATATACTATCCTATGCATCGTATACACTAGCATCAGCATCGTCATTCGTTGTTTGCTTCGGGAAGTTTTGGCTGCGCTTTTGAATCTCTTATTCGTTTCGTTTAACGCCCTGTTGGAGAGACGTATTTTTAACTGCAAAAGAAGATTCAATAATGTCTGCTGTGTCGCACGCCAACTCAGTAGACATACCTGTTTTATGCAAGAGAGGCTATAATAGTGATGTCTCGTAGACATTGCCCTGCCTCGGCTGCAACCGCTCCGGCAACGGCGAGAGGTTGGCCAGCCCTCCAACCAGTCTACGTGAGCCAGTCGTTGACAACGCTGCCGAATAGAAGGTGGGGGTATAGCGAGTGAGAGAAAGAGAGCGAGCGAAGGAGAGAGAGGATGGAGGGAGGTAACAGGACGTAGGTATGCAAAGCCGATTTGCCGCTGCCGCTTCCCCTGCTTCTATTCTCCTTTTCCAACCCTCGACGTCTGACGCGATCTTTTCCCGTTGCCATTTTTTTGCTTGTTCTTTGTCAGTCCTCATCTATCCGTCTGTCGCGATGGTCGCGTACCTTTTCCATGATATCAAGTTCACATCAAATAAGTCAGTAATCTTCTCAAAAAGTCACCACTAGAGATTCATGTAGATCCGGTGCTGCTTTATATCTGCTTCCCCGATCTTTTTTTTTCATACATCTAATGTACTTGCTTACGTATTGACGTCGTCAATTCTTTGTGCGATTGACCAGGGAGGGGTTCTTACGTACTGAAAGGAAAGACAATTCCTTTAGCGTACCTAATGATGTAATTCCAAGTTGTAGTTTCTCAGACATCTTATAAAGCGTATTCATATAATATGAGCCGATTGATAACCCAGTTTTTTCAGCTCATTCTATTACGCAGCAATTACCGTAAGAAAAACCGAAAGTCGATGCAAATAGCAGCCTACGTTTTCCATGATTTTGGCCCATCGTTTGGTAAATATATGGATTTTGCTGTAAAAAAAGGTCATCATTTTTGAAGGCTATTCAACCATTAACCAGCCCTTGGCCTTTTGTTTTCGTTTTCAACTGCTTACATACCAAGAGTAGTGTATGGGTATGGACGGGCGCAACTGACACATCTGGACCATAAGCAGCCGGGAGTTACAGAATTTATCAATCTATGTTGTGCATTGTATTCCTGGTCACGTTCATCACGTGAGGTCGCAAGCCGTCGCGTTTCGCACTGCTTTTCGCCAGATCAACGCGCGGTTTTTTTTACTCGCCGAAAAGGTTGCAGTGACAGTTTCGCCAGATTTAAGCAGCTACAGTAGAAGACCTTGTTTAGATTCCTACCAATGCACAGCATTTTCTGCTGATCCTAAGTGGCTCTTTTTAGCCTCACGCTGAATGCCTGTCTATGGCTTAACGACTCAGTCTCGCATTTGGGATTATCGCAATTATTGTTATCATCACTCCTCGTTCTTTCTGTGCCTTTCCGAATACGCCGACGCGACGCTAGAGATCCCATTGATTGGACTGTATTTTTGGTCAGGAAAGGTAGAAATAACTATCGGTAACATCACTCATTACTGGAATCAAGACCTCTACCACTCAATTGCATAAACTACTTTGACGTACGCTTCCGCACGCCGCGGGTCCCGTAGCTGTAAGTTCCTGTTTTTCTCGGGCAAAGTAATCAATGACGCAGCATCGAATAACAGCTTTTTCTATTTCCATCCTTCTAACCTCCCAAAACAACAGCAGCGAAGGATAAGCCTCTTGTACGCGGTGCGGCTATTGCAGGATGGATAAGGGAGCAAGCCCGCGAAATTTAAGATCCATTACGCTCTCAACGGTAAAACCTACGTTATATCAAAGGTGAACGAGTGTATTGATGAGTCCATCTACTAACAAGTTTACCTTGAAGCTTTGTTTGTTTTCATGTCTCTATTTTCGATTTCAGAAAATCAACAAGGACTGTTAAAGGCGAACTTTTAAACTTGCTAGATCTGTCATATTCGATTAACTTCTGGTTTACACATAAAGATATATTTTAATTGCTCTCCTTTATTTGGATTTAGACTGTCGCAATGGCTTAAAAGCTTGAGTGATAACAAATAATAGTATATTTCTGAATCCTATCTAATGGTGCAGCTTGGTACCACAAACATTTTATTGAATACAAAAAAGATAACTGCAATGTCATCACCAACTACCTCGGTCAATGGCGTCTTACGTGGTTCGAACAAGCTAATGTAAACGAACGGTATTTCGAACTTATATTAAACAAACTACGAAGCCGAATGAAGGCTGAAGAGCACGAGATTCAGGTTTTAATACCAGACGAATACCTCAGTTGTGAAATCTGGCCCACACAATGCATTTTGTGTGACCCCAACCTCTTAAAGACAAGGTAACAAGTTTATTTATTAGCAATGATGATTAAGAAAACTTAAACTAGAAATTTTAATGTAAAACGTTGACTAACTTATGTTCCCCATTGCACCTGAAGATCAGCAATGAGCTAAACATCGTCATCATGAGTATACGTGATAATAATACGTTTATCTATTGCATCGGCCCTAGAAGTCCGGTCACAACATAGCAGTGCTTTACATAATTAGAACGAACTGTTCAAACGGGTCCATACCGGAATTTTCCAATCGCTATTTGACCACCATTACATTCGTTGGACTCGACTCGCGGAACGGACGCGTTGCCCTCCGCGTCTGTCCGTCTAAAGTTAGTGGTTGTACTGTTATTATCTTAATGATGTTTTGATTCCGGTTTCTGGTCGAACGAATGCCTTCTCCCTAATGTATAGTCCATTGTGGAAAACGAAGCTATTAGCAATTGCCTGTGCTCCACATCAGCTGCGGTGGCATCAGGTGCGTCAAATTGTATCGATTCGTCAAAAGGTCGCCGGTCGACCTGAAACAAAGACCTTCAAAACCTACTTGAATCAACGAAGCAGAAGGGACAATCCACGGGACACCGCGAACCTAAGTATAACACCTAGTCAGATTAGCCATGGCACACTGCAGTCGTCGGAAGCATGATCGGGATGTTGAAAAAAACCCTTTATTGGATAAACATCATCATTCGGAGAAGAACCAGCGCAGGAGACAGAACGATCTGTATGGCCTAATGGCAGGCGGAGATAATCACCGTCATGAATTTAGGTATGTCGAAGACAATATTACCGTTATTATATTTGATGTAGTCATTGGCCTGATACAATCCAGAATGACCAGTGCGTCTCTACTGTAGATCTTAGGTTCGTTTAATCAATACCAATAGCGATATGATGATTGGACCCTTTAGACAATAATACTTTGGATGCACATCATCGTCAACGTGAGCGCCGCAGTTGCTTCTAACGCAACAGATCTATCATCGAGCCAGACACGCACGTCACGCATGTACCCCGGCAACAAAGACCAAATGCACTAAACACTATTCTTTCAAATCGTCAAAGGAGCGGCTATCTAACGGTGAACGGCAATCATACCAAAGATTCAGCGCCCGTATACTACATCTGTTGTTTATTGCACGCTCAAACCGTTTGACGAACGTATATATATTAATCAATAATATACGTGAGACATTTGTAGTTTCTAAACTGCTACAAATACGAAAGCTTTATCAAAATTTCTTTCGGTACGAAGATGCCTGAACCAGGCCAGTGAACAAACTCGAGGTGTCGGTGCTATGCCGTATATAATCAATGTTTGCTATATTTCTTCTTCGTCGAACCTATGCCACCTAAGAAAACAATTGGGACACGTGGTCAAATCACATCATGACGATTTTTAGTTAAGCCTTCGATCAAGAGTCCGAAAACAAAATGGTAGCATAGTTCGACGGCCATTTATTATGTTATGCCGCAATCTAGAAGTTTAGCAGCGCTACTATTATGATTGATTCTGAAATTTTAGGAGTCCCGGTATCGTGCCGATAGAGGCCGTACCCCTTGATCATCCATCGCTATTTTCGCCGGTGATTGGTTCGGACGGCGTCGTATCTTTATTCCTTCAACACGACATAATGGTACAGCTGCACCCCTCTGGCGCCGTTCGTGTGGTACATCGCCGCAGTGGAGCAACTGCGGGCATAGCTTCATCCGCAGCCAACAATGCTTTATACGCTGAACATCCTTGCGTTGCCAAAATGGAATACTGTACTGATGTGGTCTCTCTAGCTCTTGAACAGGTCATGCGCGCCGATGTATTTGCAAAAATCACTAAGAGAGGGTATGTGTTTACCTATACCAGCGCCATCATCCTACATTTTGGCGAACCAATACGAATTTACGTATAGTGCAAATTTGTAATGTTTGATTGAATTGTTGGCGACTTCCAGTGGCCTCTGTCTGCGAAAATATGTATCATCACATGTCGTCATACATCTGTTTCGTATATGGCAAATAAAATCTCTCTGCTTTCTTTTCAGTTGTTTATTTACGACAATAAATCACGGGCTCGTTTACCTAGTTGACAGCTCTGGCGTGAAGTCAACGACAGAGTCGTTTGTTATACTTAACAATGAGACAACTAAACGATATTTCTATAGCGGGGCCAACTACACGCCATCCGATGAAGGTAAGAGCGGATTTCATATGCCCACTAGTACTTTTAAGATTTAAATCGTCATTTTCCTCCTGGAATAGGAGCTGGCACAGCGAGTTTTACGTGTTATAGGCTTACATTTTCAGTTTACAATCAGCTAACTGTTTCGGTGGGTGTGATCAAAGCTGGTTATAGGACTCTATCAATTTTTTTATAAAAAATCTAGTCTATAACGAAGTAGGAAGCTGTACGTTCTTTAACGTTACAAAAAACACACATTAACTAACTAACTATCAGCAGATTATCAAAAAAATGAAAGACGAGTTGGCGAATCATAGGAAAAGCTTATCAACAGGCCCGGGTGATTTTTTCTGCAAGCCGGTTAGTCCTGAAATCATTGTATGTGACCTAAAGCTCCGTTTCGCGGCAATGGCGCATTGAATGGCGCAGAGCATTTTTGCCTGTCGTTATAGTAATGAACATCGAGGAATGTCTGCTAGCTTGAATATTATCCACATGGCCAACCGGTGCTAACTAACAGAGCTGTTATCTACGTGGTTCGGCTGTTTCGCTAGATTTCGCCGAGTGTGAGTCGCTGATTTCGCTATCGCGTAACTACACAACGAATGTCGGTACTATAGTGTGGGTGATTGGCGGTGTTCGTGTAAAGCAAAGTACCGATGGGGCGGTAAATGTCCATGTTGTGTCTAAGAGACCAGGATCCGCCGCAGTTGGACTTGCTGGCGGGGGCGGCGGCAGCGTGGGAGGCCAGATCACAGCAGAGAATCCATCCGCCTCTGGGGCCGTGGGGGCCAGCAGCAGCAGCAATGGAAGCGGTAGCGCCACTAGCAGCGCCAGTAGCAGCTGTGGCAGTGCAGGTAGAAATGCAAGTCTTATCGGCGCTTCAGTACAGTCATCCGCCATTCCAGGGGCGGAAGCCGGGTCGATTGGTGGGCAACGGGTTTCATTAACGGTAATGCCCAACGGCGATATTAATTTGAAAAGAGGCGATGACCTTACTGGTGAGTCTTTTGATATCTCATAGTACCTCAGTTACGTACTTGATCTCACAAGGTAATGGTGGAGCTTTCAGTTTTTTATTATCCCTTTGAGCCTGATGTCATTAATAACCGCTGTCTTGCTGTCATATTTTACGTTAGTGAGTATGCGGTGTCCCGTAGGATCGATGCTAGCAGGAACAGAATCGTCGTTTAAGCTGTTGGACTTGTCGCGTGACCGCGCGCGTCTCACTTGCGATCGACGGGGCTTCCATGCGCGTAACGGCTCGCACGTTGCTGGGTTTGATAACGAGATGCGCTTCCGACTCGAATAACGATATCGAAATAGCGACGGGGCTGAATTATTATTAGCTGGTCGCTTTCTTTTTTTGCCATGGAATTCATAATTTGTCTACAGAACAGAAACAAAAAAAAAAACTCTCGTCGCTATTCGAAATCTATTCTACACACTGTGGAATGGCTGGGAACATATCATCAAGCACACAAGAAAAAGCCGTTGAATCCCGTCCTCCGTCCGTCTAATAGTGAATAGGCCGCTATTAGTAGCATGTCGAAAACTCTGGTCATCGACTGAAGCATGCGAAGGCTAACTCCAACGACACACGCAATTACGAATTTGTGGTGCCAATAGTGACCGATGATCATAAATTTATATCTTGCGCACGAGATTCAAAAGATTGAAAAATATTTTTACGAAAATGTAAAACTGGAAGAAAATAGATAGCCAGATCAGAATTAAAGCTTGCACTTTAACAGCATTCGAAAGGCTTTTCACTCCGGCGTACACATTCTTAACGGGAACTTACAGAACAACGTTCCGTTGCGGGGTAAACGGCTTCGGAGAAGCAATAACTACAATAGCAGAATCAGACACGTAATGGGTTGTAGCTTGGGGGTTATGGTGTTTACTCGATGGTTAAGCGACAGTATATCTAACATTATTTTGTAGATACAATAAGTTTCTTAGCTAATGGTAACGCCCACATGGCAATGAACCATGTGGACACACATTCGCCCCCCTAGATAGCAAACTTGAACGACAAAAGTCTAGTCAATAACAAGGCGCACAAAAACTGTCAACCAGAAAAATCTATCACTTTGTTAAAATTTTGGTTTTCATCTCAAGATCTCTAAGATCTCAGAACTTTTTCGAATTAAAAGTTTATATTATCAACGAGTGCGCAAGCTACATCATGCTGTCCTTACTTCCTTGATGAAGTCTTTCCTCCTAATGTTCTCTTTTTTAAATCAATTGTTCTGGAATAATTTGTACATTCTAGCAAGAGCATTTTGCTCAATAGCGGCCTATTTCCAACTCTTCAAACGTATCTATGTATGCAGCTTTACACACTACCGTTCACGTAAAATCATGTATGGAGCACGGTTTGTTTCGTATTTGGAAAGACGTACTTTTGATCTCGACATTTAGTCTGTGACGGAACACTGCTGGTTTCTGAAAGCTCTGCTTGTGCACTAAAAGGATCCGTTAAATATTAGTAGTCTCATCGAACAGCATTCAGATCTTATCCCGAAAGCGCTTACGTATTGAAATGTCTTCTGAGAGGACTACGATTGTCTTTCGGAAAATTCACGCAAATGATGAATGAAGAGTAATACCTTTATTTCCACGAAGCAAATATTTGGTCCTAGGTGACCAATGCAATGCTTCATACACGATGCCTTACAGAACGTTACACTAATAAATCTTGTGTTAGGAAAAGCAGATTTTTAAAATTTGACCTTTCTTTGATTTGTTCGAATCGACGTAGATATGAATTCAGGAGGCCCGCCAACATCTGCAAAAGATATATCAAGAAATGAATTGCAAACACCTCGACTCAATGTTTTATCATTTTGGCAAACAGGATCGTTTCTAATATCTTAGATAGCCCTTAATTCTATACGAGTGCACGCCATTATTATTCTTATCATTTTTGAAAGCAAACACAACCACAATTACAAACTATGCCTGAACAGTATGTACATTTTCTGATGTAGCGAAGCAGTGTTTTTTAGTGCTCCGTATAAGATTGCGTTCTGTCCTTATATAGGACTATTAATATGCGGTCACTTAATTAGGAAATGTTCAAGCTTATAGATATATAATCCCAAAAAAAAAAGCATTCATATATAATATGCTTTTCACACGTCAGGTTCAAGCTGTTCGCTAACTTTCTTTTCCTAATTTATAGGGAGCGGCCTTCAACTACCACACGGTACCCGCACGACTTGTTTCTTTCTTAAATCAAAATATTCTCAGTTTTGGTATTGCGATGAATGCATTGGTAGGAGATAGTTAGCTCTCAACACAAAATGGCGTATGTCTAGGCCCGATTTCAAACCCAGACGATTACGTTCCGATTCCGCACGTCGTTCTAAATCATTTAGAAAGCAACACATGTTATTACTACTCCATCATCCTTTACATGCATTACAAAAGAGAAGTCTGGAACAGCTGGGTTGCAATTAGCGACTAAACGACTGAGTGTGATGGAGTGTACTGAATTTGTAATAGTGAACATGCTTGTAAAACGTCTATCCACATCTACTAAAGTATACGCAGAGTATAGTTACATTTCATTATATTGTCTTCCCTTAATCACTTGTAATAGGTCACCAACAATCGAGCGTACTGTTAGACGTACTGCCGGATCGTAGAACGTATCAACTCGATGGTTTGCAACGTCGGCTTGAAAATGTTTTTTCCCGCAGAAATTCAATGTTTACACTAGTCGTCAGCCTTGCCTTACCGTCATCTTTCAGGATATTACAGATACGAATACTGTTTCACAACTGCGAGTTGTGCTAGGGTGTTACATGGGTATTTTCAGCTGATACTATTTACCATGGTCGAAGATTCGAACAGTAACTTGCGATCATCCTGGTGGTCGGTTCCAAAGTTTATAGACGGTATATTGCAAGGTAGGGTTGAGGCAGAGAGGGCCATCTATGACAAACAAACAAACTATTCGCCGAGGCAATCGCCATCCTTCTTTCTTTCAACGGTACTGCCATAGTAGCGGAGCTGAGTATTCATAGTTTCGCGGGCTGAATATCTTCTACGGCCGTGATTTTTATGATCGTTAAGATTATCCGTCGCGGCGAAATTATTAGAAAGAACGTACGGCATAAAGCCGAAGAAAGAAAGAACGACCATCTGGGGCATGCTTTTCTTTTCCGCATTTTACTTTGCTTCACTTAGCTCTGCTTAACAAGCCTAACCGGCCGTCCCGGTAATCTCATGCGAATGGCACGAGTTCGAGCAGTAAAATATTGGCCCATCCACAAGTGGGGTCTCCTTGGACGAAACGACAAGTTGGTGAGCATAGACTGTCAAAAATTTCCGGCGCACAATGTCTAGCTGAACTAACGCCCCTGCGAAACTAGACTTGACTAGATAATCGGCGCCAAGATTGAGGTGAAAGGCTTTGAGTGTAAACGCTGTACAAAAAACGGACTAGATTTATGAAGAGCTGCCGGGCCTTGTCTATACGTTGCTGTGACAAATCTGTCAGATAGACTCGCTTGTGTCTAGTGCACAATAATAAGAACTGCCTGAGAAAAGGTCTAATTAGCAATATAGCATACAACAAACTTGACAATGGACTCATGTGAGTACGCTAGCTGTGGGAAGTTGAACTGTAGGAACGTGCTATGTATAGTTTTAAAAATACATTAAGTAATAGTTGCATGATTGCCTCATGTCGATGAAGCAGTTTCGGTTAGAAATGAGTCGGTGTTCAAGAATAAACTATAAAGACCCATACCTTGTATATGTTTTATACCTTGTATAAAGATGCTTAGGTTGTTTCAGAGACAGAATGACTGTTTTGCAATAGTTTCTTGATGTATAATATGAATTGTGCAAATTGTTAACCCACTCCCGGAGTCTTGAGGCCTGCACTTCGGCACTGCAACTAAATCAATTTTTTTTTAATTAAGATCACAGTAACATAATAGGACATGTACCCCAATGGGAAAGTGTCACATAAGAAACTCAATGTTGATTACTTTTCCTGTCTCGTTGTTACGATTTGTCAAAAGAGTATCTAAATTGTGCTGGAACGTTTGCTACGAAGCTTTACCGAAGTCAGTCGTTATTTCAATTCAGTCTAGCCTGAATTATCAGATATTGAAAGATACCTGAAAAGTAGATATAATGTGTACTTTATGGTATAATTAATTTGAGTTATTACTTATGAATTTTTCGCAATTGTACTTGTCAAAGTGGCCATATACACGTTGCAGTATTTGTCGTTATTTCAATCATTAATAACCCAGAATACACATTTGTGCTAAATGGTAAGATCAAAACTTTTCCAACTCTATCCAGCAGACATTTTAGCCTAGATAGAAAGGCCATAACTAAGAACTCGTATTTTACGTTTAAGGATAGAAATGACATGGACCTACAAATGTTAATTCAAATTAAAAAAAAAAGCTAAATTAATTGAAAGTGCATTAATTTATCTATTTCTCAAGCGAAAATATACATTTGATTGGATTGAAAAAAAAATCCATATATAGCACCAAAAATGAGCATGCAAAGAGTAGCAGAAACATCACCCTTAAGCATCATTCGATCGCCATACGTTAGCCGTACTGCTTATGTAATCTGCTAAAACTAGTTCTTATTCTATAGTAGTATCTATTAGTTCTTATTATATAGTAGTAGTTTTTTTTTCTGGATCTATAGAAAAACGAAACTTCTAATAAGATTTACTCCCCTTCTAATAAACTGTATACAAAAACCGTGTAGAGCCTTCTATTGCAGAAAATTTGATCATACGAAGTACTTTTCACTATAGTGTAGCGTCCCGTCCATGCATTTTATTTTAACCTGCAGTTTAATTCGGCATCTGAATGCTGAAGCTTCTTGAATTGTCGTGATACTAGTTAAGCCCATCAATTGATCATGTCCAATTGTATGTCTGAGTTTCGTAGAGATGAGTGTAAGGTGGAACTAGATTGGCATTACCGCGCATCTTTTTAATAAGATTTAGGTACGAGCAGGCAGCAAAAAAAAAGCACACAATGCATACATCAGCAGCGTTTGCCAGCTCAGAGATTCGGCACTATTATATAGAATATCAATGGCGCGAAAGCAAGCTATAATGTGTATGTCTATCAAGGCATACTACTTTTTAAACACCGTGCCGGGTTCTCCACAACTGTTTGTCAATCTGCCCGCAGTTATTCAACAAAAAAAGCCTTATTATACTGCTATATTCACGCAAACATACAAGTGCAAGCCGCAACCATCGACTACTAGTACGAAACGGATAGCATATTATTTCTACTGGCTCGAACAATGCCACAAACCAGCCTCGGACCAACGAGGCCGACAGAATGTGTTTTGACCTTTGTGTCCATACACACAGTGGCCTTTCGCCTTCTACAATAGAAGCGCCGACCTCTGCGATATAGTGGCAAATTGATCCTGGTTTTTTCTGTCTGCAGGACGATAAGCAAGTGTTTGCTAGGTGCTTACCGATAGTAACGATGCAAGAAAGAGAACGGCGAAGCCAAACAAAAGCCACATCATCATCAGTGACGAAAGGGCGGCACGTTTTGGACACGTAAACATAGCGGCAGTAAGCAAGATTATGATCGTTGACGTCGATTTGATATCTTTCAGCGGTTTTGTTTTTATAGTCACGTTACTGCATCGATGCCATCTGCAACGCGACTATAATTCCCTGTTGGACGACCCCTGTTCAAGGTCTATTTAATTTCATAGACTTCACGCGCCGTTTGCTCCTGTACAAGATACAGGAAAAAGGAGGACAGATTTCAAAACGTCGTTGCTCATAACACAGTGAATGTACTACATAGGCAAAGTTTCAATGGCATAGTCAAGGGTTTATTACCGAGAAACCTTCTGGCTTTTTTGTTGGCATCTATAACACAGCTGCGTCCAAACTGTTGTATGGGGGAGACCTGCTGACATCAGAAGCCAGGGAACATTTAGAGGCATAGGCTTGACCTCTAACTTGAGTAACTTGGAAATTGTCTAAACATCTACTACGCAACATGTGTAATTATAAAGCAGTTGCCTTCCATGAATGACAGTTAGCCGAGATAAATATAACGAAGATTTGTATAAGTTAAAAAAACCTTGGTACCAATAGATTGATCATTATTAATCACTGATTTTAGTTGTTTTGGATATAGCTTGAGGTTCCTGTAGACTTATTTGTTATCCACCAAAAAATACATACATACATACATCATTCAATAGGATGCCGGGCTGACCATTTTTTCCGTTGTTTCGCTACATCAGATGACGCTTTCTATCAGTACTTTCAACAGATAATACAAGAAATACGCGTAAATGATTACGTGCGTATGTCAAACTAGTAGGTGTTTGACTACTGCCTTCCTGTCACCATCAAGATAGCAACGCGGCCAGTAGGATCGCTTCAAGTTAGAAACAACGCTTAGGGACGGTACCGGACGCTTGACGAAAACAATAACATTCGTCAGACTGCCACCATCGAAAAGGCGTTTGGTCACTCTGACGATATTACTGAGCCCGACGCTGCTTTTAATGTAGTGAATTTTTCTGTAAAATTTGACATATCAAAAACTAGACGAAATAACTGTTTCTAGAAATAGTGCCAGAAACAAACATAACTACGAAAAAGAGGAATATCGCAACCAGGGTGTGGAAATTACTAAAAGATCACATGAGCCTGAACGATATCTCAAATTTTTCATATGAATGGATTTTATATTGTTAGAGAACGCCGTGTATGATATTTATGTGCTTGGCAAAACGCACACGAGAGTGAAAGGGGGAATACGAAGCACCACAGAGGACTAGCACTCCCTGGATGAGTCAGACCCCAAAAACGAGAGCTGTAATATACATCAAATACTTATTTTTTTAACAGAAGCGAAAACAAGTATCATATAAAAAGTGTTAGTGTACGATGGCGGATCGTTAATGATGGGTCGTCTAGCGAAACCGTTCAGAACTGCCTATTTTAAAAGAAACCGAATAGGGAACATTTTAATTGCTGGCTTAGTTGAACTTACCAGGTGCCAATTAATTTTTTTCTTGTGTAAACATATATACTAAACACAAGAACGACTTATGGCACTATGTTGAAACAGCTCTACTTCTCCATTCGTTGCTCAAAACGTTCTGACTGAGGTTGGCTGGATAGGGTATATTCTTTTCTTTTTTTTAATGCAATAGTGGCTTCAAATGTAAAAGACAGAATATTTATGGTTTTCGCACGTTGAATATGTAAGACGAACATAATCCTCTACGCAAAACGTGTATTTAAATGTACTTTTCCTTAGACAAAATGATATCTAAAACCTTCTAATGCATAATCCATGAAAGTAGTCCATGTAATAATCTCCACTCGGTTCGTGCGTGGATACACGTCACCCGGATCTTCACACCTAGGTCGAACGATCCTAAGCTACAAGAACGTCGGGCTACATTGTATCGACTCGATACCGTAATGAGAACAGGGTTACTTGAATTAGCTATACCGGATGAGCGACAGCTGTTTGGCCTGCGCGAGCCCTGTAGACCTTCCGAAGGTTCCACAGTTCAGATCCTATTGAACCTTGTGTTCAATAGTGGATATGCTGGCTGCTTAGGATGCTGGAATGCTGGCTGCCGCTTTACGTGGCTGCTACCCTGTGCGGACGCTATGGGCATATACATCGAACACTGAATAGAGGACAATACTAGCCAATGCTGAACATCATATGACGCCTGTTCTGTCGGAGTCCCTCTTCAGATGGTCGATATGTTGATCTCGGCTTCTGTTGTGTGTCTTACTGCTTGCGGAGTAGAATTAACGGTGCTGCTAGTGCATTTTCTTGCCAGCATTACGGCCTGTCCTAAAAAAACTCACCCAACTGTCGATCTCGTGTGTAACGCGCTTGATTAAATGTTGTTCTATTGCGACCTACTAGTAAGCGAACAATCAAAGTAGTTGCACGTAGAGGAAGCATTATGTCTGCAGACCCGTCGTTCAGTCAGCAATCGCTGATAAAGGCCCCACATTGAACCCTCGTCTTTTCATTTTAACGCAATTCAAGTTTTATGAAAAGATAGTGCTAGGTCTGTTACGCGAATAGTTATAAGGGAAACCCAGAAGTCAGTGTATGGTTTTTACAGAAACTGTGTGTTACTCCCCATAATTACTCACTGATGTAAAATCAGTTGTGATAATAACTGATTGAGGTATGTGCCATCCTGGGAGAAGGATGTGACCCAATTAATGAAAAAATTTTGTTGCAGTAACAGACCCTAGAGAGATCGAAGTAAAAGTTAGGAAAACGGAATAGTGCATTTAGAAAAAAACCCACTCACGAAAGTTTTACAATGCATCATTACCTCTATTTAGATATTAATTGTTGAGTACTCGGTGGATACGCCCGGAGCCGTTAATAACGATTGTCCGTGCATAGTATCGTTGTAAAATGCCCTCACGTATGTCACGTCTCGTGAAAGTTTGTTTGCGGTTGTCACAATAAATGGAAGCGCTATGTCTTTGTGAATCTTTGTGAAACAGTGTCAAGCTCTGCCGTGACTATATGGAGAGACCAATCTTACAGCTGCTGACCAGCGTTGGCTTGTCACTATGTTGGCTTTCGGACGAAGCGGCAAAACTAAAGCTATGTTTGTTTATCGGGGGCATCGTGTCCACGTTAGCAGCACTTTACGTTTGCTAGCTCCGAGCTAGCTACGTAATCATTCTAAAATTACACAGTTCGATAAAGGCATGCCTATGCTTGTGTTGTACAGAGATTCAATGGCATGTCTGACAATGCTATTTATGTCGTTTCAACATTGCAAGAGTTGGTTGAATTTTAGTCGCACAACTATTAGTTGTTTGATTTTGCCAGTGAATGTGCTACAAGGCCATATTTGTGTCACTAACGGATGCCACATCATGTATAGTACATATGTGCTTCGAGCTGCTCCCCCGGATGGTATGCACATGCTTGCTTGTAATAATAATCGGTATTTGTTAGACTAAGATTTTCTATTGTTCATCCAGAAAATAACCTCATCTGGAACAAGGTTCCAAATCGGGATGCGTTGTTTTAATGCTAGTGAGCTCATGTGCTCCACCATGATTCCTTTCCTGCGCATTCTCATGTTGAAGGAATATCTATTAAAGGCGACTGATCTTACATACAATTGCTATTTTAGCGCGCTATTCAAGCAATACGATTTTGAAGCGTTTCGTCTTGTGACGAGGTGTACGTGCCCGTATTATTAGGACCGACCCAATCTTGTTCAAACCACCGACGTGTTAGAACCTTAGGTGGTCATCTCCCGGTCTTATTCAGTTCTCGTTGTCGTACCAGGCTGGCTCATGCTATGTATTCGTCTAGCGGCCATGTAACACATGGCAGACGATAACAAAGCCCGCAATGCGAACTTCATAAAACTGGTCGCCTGCTGATTATGTAACGTTTACGCAACAAACACACAATAGCAGCAAACAGGTTGAAACATTATTGACATAACAGATGTTCGTGGGCGTTTCGTATTAACAAACCGCTGACGTGTTTCGTGCGTCATGATAATTGACGCGTGATTGAAGTAATTTTGTTTTGCGTGCTTTCTTTACGGGATCGAGCTTGCTATGTCACGACTTTTTCTGTCCTAGTGAAGACGTGTGTTGCCGCGATGAACAATAGTCGTGTCATACCATGCCAGGTAATTTTCAACTGGTGTCTAAAAAAGAGAAAGACAGGTAACCGTTTAAATGTTTGAACCTATATCTTTTTTTACGCTATTACTCCAGCCAGATTCGAATCAATCGCGTGGAAGAGTAACAAATAGAGAGCTCTAAGAGTGGTAGTATGGTAATTAGTGGTGGAACGTATAAGGCTTATGAAAGGAGGTAAACCTATTACTCAAATAGCGCGCCATCTACTTGCGCCGAGGAAACTAAGGTGAAGCAAAGCGCAGAAAAGAAACGCGAAGCCGTTACCACTCGACAAGGTTAACGATACTCCTTGGCCGGATCTAAACGGATCCGCCTGTTCGACTCGAAAAATGTTTCCTCTTACCCCCTAATCGTCATTTACTGATCGTCTCACCGACTACAATAGCCTCATCCTCAAAATAATTTATCCGAGAAAGTTCTTTTTTTTTTTGTTGTTGTTCTAAGTACGTCGTCCATCAACGAATTAGTTGGAATCAGTCAACTTAGAAGCTCAATGACGAATGAGAGTTTGATGTTCTGATCAAGCGGGAAGGTTACTGATCTTCTTTGCAAAAAAATATCTATCTATATAGTCTTTCTATATACTTTGTCTATATATATATATATATATATACAGACTTTTGTGTTTATGATCTGAAATTAATAAGGGCCTAGTCCGTCAGCATCGCGGTGTTTAAAAGGCTCCCGGGCAGAATACTACACTCTAGAAATTAAATAGCGTTTCTTTTTGCATAATTTGCGCAAGACAATCCTTCAATCAAATTCGTATTTGTTATCAATCAATAACAATCGATAAATAAGATGGATGATTCTTGATTTTAAACATATACAAGGTAACATATCGAGGTACACGATCTTACAGCAGCGGTGTCAGTAGAATTCTCACGTAAACTTTCTGATAGTCATATTGAAAACTAATTTCCAAATGATGGCTCGGAATCAGTTCTACCTGATCGGTAACAGTATATAATATGGTGTTGGATGATTTGTGTTCTGAGAATGATTGATACTGAACACTCTGAAACTGGTGCGTTATACCGATTAGGATCTTCGCCGGAACGACAATTTGTTAGCAATATTTATGGCATCGGTTAAAAGTAAAGATATAATGCTAAACGATGTCTATGCCCATAGTGTAGTACTCCAAAGATCTAAACAAACGTTCATACACAGAGTGATTGAGCGGTACCTACTCTTTCAGCTGGCAACACAATGACTGAAACCAAGTTCGAAAAGAACACGAAGCTGAAGATACGCAAATGGGCAGATGACAATATGATGTGGATCGTAGCTCTCATTGCATTGTCCACACTTTCAATAATGGCTTGCACCATGGGCAGTTTGCTTTACGGTTACCAGCCAGCCATCATGGGCGTTGTAGCTACGCTAGCGGTGTTTTTTTCTCTGCTTTTCGTCATGATTGTACGAAGATGTACGTTGCAAGGTAAGTTGGTTTTTCTAAACCTCTACGTTACTTTTATTCAACTCATTGACTGATATAATTGGCATACTGTCCAGTAGTCATAGGTATATGTTAAATGCTCTTTAGACTGAAAGCTGAAAATAAAGTAGGGTGGTTGCTGTTAATTTCAGCCCAGCTTTAAATATAAAGAAAAAATCTATGGAACAGTTTGTTTTTTACTATTCCGTGTTGGCTTTTGCCACACTGACTAGTGCGTTATAGAAATAAAACAAGTTACGCCAAGACGATAGTACCATTGGCCGTATCTACTTTTAAAAATAATTTAAGGTTAAAAACAAGATCATACATCTGTTTTTAATAACGCATTATTATTTTTTGTTAAATTAGCGAGTTAGGGATGTTTGAACGTCCACGTTCCTCAGTTTTTTCCTAGGCAATAATGCAATATGATTTTCAACGGTCGGTGTTTACACCCCAATTTGATATTCCGTCTTGTATGTAAATCATTGACTATGGCCAAAAATAAATAAAAATTGTTAACTGCTAGCCAACTATACGTTGACCGACTTGACAGCCAGAAATTTAGCTAAAATTTAGAGCGTTAGGGTTAGGGCAATGTAAGTAAGTGGAGAGTAAAGCATGACTTGGATCCTGAGCCGCCGTTAGGGATCCGATTTGAAATTGGTCTCGGATAAATGAAAATCTATATGGCAGGACATTATAGTTGTTTTCGATCGACTAACGTTATTTTGAGATAATGACTGACAGTGCGCTGATTCCGAGAGTCACCTATTCATGTAACGTCAGACATAACACCTCGGTGCGACCAGAGGGTAGCGAAGCATCCATCAAAGTTGCGTGCATTGCTTAATCGATCGGCTGATTGATAATTTGATTGAATTTGTCAGTGTTTCATGTATACGAGTACGTGTTGGGAGGAAAAACAGACATAGTTCAAAATACAAATGTCCAACACAATTTAATGATATCATTCGTGATAACATGGTTTTTTTGACGGAGGGCCCCACCACGATACATATAAGAAATAAACTAAATAGTCTTAAGTAAGATAGGGAGTTAGTTTGTCTTTCGGACACTAGACCTTACGATGTAGTGTGTAAATGGATGTCTACGCGTATGGTGGCCGGACAAAACCATAGGGTCAGCTTCCGTGTCCGTACAGTATGAGCAGAAGCAGCAAACATTTCTCCATGTAGCAGCAAATTGTGGCAACGTTTGATCGATAGCAACGTAAATGCACAAGACAATGAATAGTACCTAATTCGTGTCCTATCCTTGACTATCTCAGTGAACTGCTGTGGGCGGAGTTATGGCTATCTTTGTCAAGGCCGGCGACTTTTCACATCCGTCTACGAGCACAAAAATAGTTAGGCCATAGCAACAATATCACCGGCCTGCAGAGTCTGATTTTCACGTGTACCTATCTCGTCCTATTCTCAAGCCTACCTATTATATTTAGATCTATAGAAAACGTTTACGAGCTAAATCGAATATAGTGATACGTGTGATATTTCCCGGAAGGAGCTTCGTGTAGCTAGTTTTTGATCGTATATAATCGATGTTAATAAAAAACTATATATAAGGTTACCGTATAAGTTTATCCCGTCTGATAGAAGTGATTAGGACATAGTTCATTATCCAGTGTGACCGCTTTTGGTTAAAAATATTTTATGGATCCATATCTTTAATTGCAGGCACTTCTTGTCCAGCTCTTAACGTAACCGGCTTACTCGCTTATATATATAATGCCTTGGTTTATGGAACTATGGAATGAATTAAGGCCGAGGAGATAATTTCTGTTGAAAGACAATATGAGCCATAAAGGTTACATAGCAGACAAAAGACATGCCCTTTTTTCTGTGAGAACTAAGGATGCTGGTCTAATAACCTTAATAATAATAATCTTGATAATAATAAGGTGGAAGAGTGCACTCTAATAGTTTTTTTATTTTTTAGGTAAGGTCGAGGAAGAGCCAACAATTATTCAGATGGCCCAAGAGGAAGCACTAGATGGCCCTCCGTTGTTCCCACACTATCAAAGGAGACGATCTTCTATCGCGACAATTCCTCGATGTTCCATTCCCAACATGGACATCGTTATTGACAAAGTTCGCCAGCATAGCGTTCAGGTAGGTGAAAGATCACGCAAAGAAGACAATGAAGACACATCGGGAAAGTGACTTACTCAGAGGAAACGTACAGGCATCGGCAAGTAGTGTCGTCGGATGTGAACTGCTTATCGTACACGCAACACCTCTTCAATCTTTGTTTCGTGGCTTTTGTAAAGCAAACTAGCGAGGCACGGATTTTAGAGCAGCGGCATTTTGCGGACAATACTTTGTACTAGTAAATCGTTCAGCAAATTTCAGTTACTGTGATCCTATGCACGTTTGGCTGCACGTCCTCCATGGCATGATAAGATCGTCAATAGAAAACAAATGACCAGCCGTGAGCCGGCTTGGCCATAAGGTTTGAAAAAATTTACCGAATTATCTAGTCGTTCAGGAAATATTACGTCTGACTGTTTTATCGATTGAACAACAACAAGCACGGTGTTACTTTTGTCTTTTTATTATAAATAGGTCTAGAACAGGCTACGCTAGAGAAATGCTGTGTGCAGGCTTCATCGCATTCATTTTGGCCGATTTACTCGGCCTTTTTTTTAGCCATGATTAAATCCGAGAGATATTTTTGAATAAAACCGGTTAAGAGATCTATCAGAATAGAAATTCGTAACCTCCTGCCGAAGTCCCGATCCCCTTAAGAACTCACGATCGAAACTGGCTACGAATAAGTTTGCCTGACTTTGGCCTGCGTTAGATCGTGCGTTAAACTCGACTACGCGACAAACATAATTCAAGCAAAAAAGACCATTTCGAAAATGCCGCAGTGCTATGTAGCATAGTTGGTGATCTGCATTTTTGTGTTTGGTAAGAGCGCCTATGCTAGAGCAGACATTGACTCCCTAGATCTATTTATTATAAGTTTACGCACGGACTATATGAAGTTCATAACTATGTTGTTTTAAATTTTGCTTGTATTTACGACTTTTTACCGTGCTCATTACCAGTCACTCTCCTCTACTTGATCCTTATTCGACACGATTCTCTCAGTAGTCTGCTCCTAAATCTGGTTTATATTATTTTTGTTTATCCCTCGTTTCAATCGCAGTCCACCCCTTGTTACATCTTTAGATTGCTTTTTATAGGGCCGACCGTTCTTTGAAGGTGCTTTCGGTGGCTGTTTTGGCGAAGGACCGTCTTCGCACGAGCTGACTCTATCTGAGTCAGTTTTTTCGTCCGATTTATCATTACGGGCTGCTCGTGGGTCTGTTAACCGGTGCGTTTTTGGGTCTGTTCCATTCTCCTTGGCTACCTTGCGAGGTCCACACCATTGAACATCGATGTATATAAGGGGTGCATCTTTTTTATCTGACACAGTGATCCGTTGCCATCCGTCCGCTGTTGTCAAAGCGTTCATGGAAACTTGCCGCTTCAAATCGATTTTCTGAGTTTCTACCGGCTGATTCGGCCTACGGAGGGTTACGATTGCTTCGGTTGGAACGCCAATTCTGCAGTCGACGTGCATCCTCGTTATCCTTTCTGAGACGAGATTGAGGCAGTACCCATTCGAGAAGCGAACCTGCACGCTGACATGCGGCGTCACAACCCTGATTAAGACGGCATTGATAAAGCGGTTAAATAAATCACAAAATTCTGCTGCTTCCTGAGGCGGTATCGTGCCCTGATATTTCCTCATTTCAGCAACGAATCTCCGTACGCCACTTTCCGCGCCTTTTGCCAGTGCTTGGCCATCGAGGAAAGCTTTGATATACATAGACGTTGGCGAGTTCGTGAAGACGGAGACGTCAAAACCCTTCGGATTTCTTCTACTAAAGGGAATCTCATCGATAACATCCCATTCGCCCGATAGGCCAACCACGGAATGAGGTGATTGAGAACTGAACCTACCAAGATTATTTGTGCCTTCTGAGTTCCCAACTGCGAAAAGCATATCAACACACGTCGTTCGAGCTCCGCGAGGCCTCAAGCGCTTTACGGGGGCCGTATTGCTCATTACGACCCAGTTCGTTGGTTCACAATTTTGCCAAATATTTTGTCTATCCAATGTTTGAATTTCGTTTTTTCTACGATTTGTCAAAAAAATTCGAAGTCGCCTACTTGTTGCGGGTATCTTGATTCTAAGGTTCATCTAGGTGTCGTCTTTGCGGTCTGCAAACAGGTGCCAGGACAGTGTCGTATGTATTTGGGTCATCAACGTGCGTCCTAATGGTGTTCCGATGTGAAAAATACTCATGGGCAAGAACTATTGCTGTTTACTAGATAAGTTAATCGCCATGATTAAGTTGCAGTTTTAAAAACAAACATAGAAATTAGTTGTATCGAAGAATGGTAGCCATAATTTGTTATATCAGACTTTTTCAAGTGAATATTCCAGTACTAAGGTTGAGCGGAAATGTCGATGGTAACATGTTGCCATACTTATCGATAACGATATTGATGCCGGACGCTGAAACGTCGATTTGGCATGTTAATTATAAATAAAGTCCGGCAACTGGAAGAAGAGTGGTTACAGTCAATTTAATCGTTAAAAGTCACGAGCTTCAGTAGGCCGCTTTCAGTTAGCTCGCACATGTTGACGTAACTGCTATTCAATAATACTATATAATGAGACATTATAGTAAGTTGAGTTAACACAATGAATCGAACGAGTTCAGAGATCTTCTTGACTCAGTCCATTATCGACCATTGTCGTAGGTCACACACAATGAATGATCTAGTTAGTCGCAGCAGTACACAGCCACAGGCCTATACGCCTGACGCGGCGCCAGAGCATTTACAGACATAGACTTAGTAATATGCCCATGTCACAGCGACGTACCAACGCAAAGACGATTGCTCAATGGTTTTTTAACTGAATTATATAATCAGCTCCGAAAAAGATGTCGCGATTCTTTTTACTGAGACAACAGCTTTTCTATTTGACTGTTCAATTGATACTTTGTGTTCGTGCCTGTCAGAATGGGAATTTACGATATTCAATTTTTAGGTAAATTCGAGTTCTGCGTTGCAGCCAAATGAAGGATTCTCTCACCTCAAATGTGGGGTTGCTGCCTATCTAGTTATTACTACCCGTGAAGTTTAACCATGTGAGCCTAACAGAGTCGTTTGTTTGTTTGTTTTTCTTTATGAGGAAACAAGTCGATAGTCTATTGAAGTCAAAATTCGACCGTGTACGCAATCACAGTTTAGCATTTGTGTGGCTACGGTCAAATTCGACATGAGTATGACCCAGGTGTAATGTAGCCGGCGTACGGCTACCGGCTGCCAGCCCAAATTCGAAGCTTTGGACCTGAAGCATATAGACCATAGGGAAGAGTTACTGTGCGGGCATTAACGTACGCCGTAAAGTAACTACCACTTAAACCTGATCAAGCTTCCCATTTATTATTTAGAAATCTCTATGCAGCGTAATTTCTAGCAGTATACCAGTACCATCAAACCTCTAAGTGGCCGAGTAGCTACAAGCCTATCGTAGTGTCGTACAGACATATGTGTGGGTGCAACAAGATGAAACTTCAGATCAGCGAGGTCTAGCTTTCACTGCAAAAACAATAGCTCATGCTACGTCTGCCATTTGGATGTAAGGCCTAAAGCCAGCGACAATCACTAATAAAAGCTACATTTGCTTTGCACCGCTGCTCTGGCTTCAGTTGTTGCAGCTACCTGGACACGTCCGATAGAGTTTGGTGGCTATTGTTTCCCGGATCAGCATTCTTTATACAAGGCTATCATACGTGTCTACAGCAGCGCAAACGAAGTCCTAAATACTGTCCTGACAACAGGGCTATTCGTTTCATAAAACAACATACTGCTTCTTGACCCATACAAAATCGGAGCATCCAGCCTCAGCCAAGGCAACGACGGTTCTACCGTTATTATCTATTTTATTATCGTTTATACTTTTCCCGCTTTTGTATATCTTGATCACAGATTGGCTGGACAATGTCCTGGCGACGTTTCCGTGCCAGCGCCAGGCCAGTAATTATGTGATTTCTACCCGTAGCATACATTATTTGCACGCTCTCTACAACGACGTATTGATGCGGCCATTGCAGAAGGATGGTAACGAGAAGCAATTATCGGCTTCTGCAAAAGTAGTGAAGGCGGAAGTGACATGGCTGTGCAGAACGCGTCGGCTATAGAGGAATAGAGTAAAAATATACATATACACACCTTACAAACAAGATGCATAGTAGACTGCTAGCAATTATAATAATATTCTTTACTACTATTGGTGTTTTTATTCGTCTGTTAGTTTATACAGATTTTTGAGATATCCTGACCGGGTTTTCAAAGTTTTCCCACTTTCTTGGTGCAGAAATATCATAACTAATGTGACAGCACCTTGAACTAAAATGGCACAGTTTTAGCAACAAGATTACCTCGGCGCTGTATTTAGAATGTCTAGAAATGGTTCTCTGTCCTTTTTTTACGATAAAAATAGCGATGTATTTTTTCAAACAATGGCAAATGAGAGTGTAGGGTAGAAAAGAATATCTCCCCATTCCTTGTTTATAGATATTAAATGTATCTCGTGCATGCGTGTTTAATGAGAGACGTTTATCAAGGTATATCAGCTGAGGTTCTACTAGATGATGTTTCAAAAACGCTGTGCGATAAACTTGCTAGATTCAGCCACGTGGCTATTTTCGCGTAATTTGTACGTACTTTGGCTGTACTACAGTGGGCCTCTTGATTGGGTCGTCGCTTCCTACGCATGCAAATACTCACTCCGCTTCACTTTGTTTTGTGGTTGTCTAAATACATGTACACGTGCGCGTACATCGACAAGCATGTGCGTGACTCTGAACGGGTGTAGTATCCTAGCGACCTACAGGAACGCTCTCTGTGCCCACCACTATATCACTAACAGTACTATTCGGCGCAGAAGGTCGAAAACGGTGGCATCTTATGGTTTGTGTAGTAGAATTCTACGCGCCACGGCCTTCCGGGGCAGCACGGCAGGCCCGCGGGGGGCATGCCGAGTGTCTTTAGAAGGCGAGGGTAAGTGAGGAGTATCAGCAGTGGGCGCTCCTTGTCCTGCTTGCGTTGCGGACCAGTCAGTGATGTTCTATTCAGTGCCATCGATCACCTGCATTTGAATAACCTTGATGGTTTTATTACGACGAGCCAAATGATAGGACAGCTATCAGGACGACAGGCAGCCAGGAAGAACGGCAAGCATAGGTAGTTGCAACGAGCGACTTAGGCAGCGAACGAGCAAGCAGAATGAGATTGGGAATGAAAAAAGGCTTCCGCTGTTACTGTTGTTGAGGTTTCTCCGTCAAAGTAATTGCCCTCTTTTCTGTCTACCATAGATACATCTCGGCGCACTACAGAATCCTACTACGACCAGAATCGACGTTGAAGGCTGCAGAACAGGCATACAGCTCATGGCAGTAATGTAAAAGATCAGACGAAGGAAGAACGAGAATGGACAGATGAGAAGACTGATAAATGCACGAATCGAACGAACACTGCTCGTCTGATAGTAGCAGGAGCGGCTAAAGCAGCAGGTGGGCAAAGCTGTCGCAGCTGCCGGGAAGGGGCAGAAAGCCCGATGGCCATTGCAGGTGTTAGAGTTAACAGTCTCGCTTTTGTGGACAGCTATAGTAGCCGGCCCATCATGTCGGAGGTCACGTCCGCGAGGAAGACCGTACGGGTTGACTGATTACAGGTAGAAGAGTCCACCCACGAAGGCTCACTGAATCGCGCGGCAACAGATAGAGCGGAGATGTGAATTAGTCGACTTTAACTCGTGGACCAATAGGTTGCCAGTATCGAAAACTAAATTGACTCTATTGAAAAAGATCGCCACAGAATAACACGATCTATATTGCACGATATGCCTGACTGTGCGTATTAATTTGAAGCATAGAACCTAGCTAAATAATTGAAATGCCACAGGGCACACTGAAAGGGTGCCACTTTATGCAGCCCTACCGAAACCTTATCTAATTCTTCACCATTTTTATGTCACGGTACGGAATTGTATCCTAAACCCAGTACCTCAAAGGTGTCACAAATTTCAATGAAGTGCCGACTAAGATGATCACAGAATAATGACAGTTACCACGTGAAACTGTTGCACCGTTTTGCTGTGTCAATCGATTTACGGAAGTAGGCCTAGAAGAATAATAAATATGGCGAATCGTTCTCTGAGAATTAGAGACTGAGAAACCAGTTAGAAAACAGAATAGAGGACAACATTTTAATTAGGATTAAGATAAAGACACGACTATGAGAGTTACGCGGGCAGGTGTTAGCAAGATTCAAACATTTCCAAGCAACCGCAAGTGTTTCGTTTGCTGTTTGGCTCTCGCTGGATGGGGATCAGGACGCTTATGAGATTATTTATGTCGGATCCTTCAAACATCAGAATGGATGACCTTGGAGAAAGTCTAGCAAATTGTAGAATATAATGGGATATTTAACGATGGCATTCGACGTATAGCTATGCATGAAGAGATCCGAGCCGTTAGAGCATTTCCACAAATTATAAACAATAATGAATTGAAGGTTCGTAAGAGCATAGTTCTGCATCCGGTAAATGCTACAACGGATTGAAAGTACTGCGATGTATGATCGTATAAAATCTGAAAATTGCGTTATATTTTTGGAATTTTTAGTATAGAAATGTCGAGATGATTACCACAAGTAAAGAGGGCAAGCCCTAGAACTTGACGTATTCGTAAAAAAATACGGAAGTACCGGTAAATTACTGAAAATGTACTGAAGCTTATGGTTTTCAACAGGGCTGTGTTTGACACTTGTTGTATGTAAACCCCTCGCTCACATAATCCTTTTAAATATGTAGTTCTTGTAAAACAACAGATACACCTATTTCAGAAACGTATTAATACAAGGTAGAATGAAAATTTTTACTCCTTTCTAAAGATAGGCTGAATACATTAAAAACCTAAATCCGAGGCCAAATGTGTATAAAAACCCGAGAAAGCACTATTAAGGTTTTGTGCCGCCGGCAAACCTTCTATAGTTAACGTATTGCCTTATCTAGGCTATATCTAGGCATGCGTCCGTGCTCTTCTTTTCTGGTCATGCTGCATTGTTACTTAGCGATAACATTCAGTACTGTATATAACAAATACAAACCGTTATTTCGTACAATTACCTCGTGTGGTATATGCTTCGCAAATCGGATATACTTATGAAAAAGCACTATTTCAGGAATAAGCTCGTTTAGTCCGATAAATTGTATTGTTCTTTGCTTTTCTAACTTTTTTTTTTTTTGTTAATCTTTAACCTTACAGGGAAGTCAAAGGCGTGACAGCACTGCGCCCAGCGGCAGCAATCAGGCTTCTGCTGCCGACCCAACTGGAGGAGTTCAATTTGCGAGCCCCAAGAAAGAATCGCCCTGTTTAACGCCGATTGCCGAACTCCCGAAGACGCCCACAACGCAACACATCGCTCACGGAGCTTCTCCCTCAAAATAAATCAATCACTAGGCAATCAGTCGAGCAGGAAAAACTAGTCTAATGGCTTGAACTGTACTGATACATGGAATAACGTAAAACAACATTGAATTACGTAGCCGTCCAAACTAAAGCCTTGACGCCACGCCAGAATACGACATCTCCACAAATCATAGTTGTAATAACATGCGGACTTTTCACTGACTCTCGCCCATTATCTTCCTCTACATTCATCTCGATAAAGATGCCTGTTTGTGTGGCGTCTGCTTAGAAAGAGAGATTCAGTCAGTTACGCAACCATTCAGCTGCCGTTGCATTCAGACAGGTGGGCATAGAGGGGCAGCTAGTAATACCGAATATAAATATTCAGCAGGACACCAAGTGTAATAGACAACATCGAACATGGATGGCCCAAATCTGACTCGGACGACTGGAAAAGACGAATATTTAATAAAAAATACACTATTAGATAATGAGCTACCTGTTTGCTACGGCTACAAACTTTCTACGAACGGCCTGCTAACTGGAAAGCTTAATCTTTAAATATGAAGCAAATGAATCTATGAAGGGACAAAACTGCGCGGCATCTAACACGATGTCCTACACGTTTGTTTTTGCCTGCCTTAGATAGTGGCTGCTAATCATTGGAAGTTAGTTAGACAAACATAGATATACGTGTACGCGTTCCGCGTCAATTTTGTACTGTAACTAAAACAGTATCGATAAGGAGACGGCTCCGAATACTTTGTTGGGTTGCCAGTTGAATATAATATGAAATGGGATAAAAGGAGGCAATGCTGGCGACAGATTTGTTCTGAATCTCTGCCCATACCTAACTAAACTGTTTTTAACTTTAATCCCTTAATAACTTGATTGACTATTGCCCTTTCTGTCACAATAACATGCAATGCATGTTACAGAATAAAGACAGATTTTGCAATCTGTTATGTTGCCATTTATACTACAGACGGTCCGAATCTACGTGAAGCCCGTTGCAAGTTCGGTAGCTACAGCAAAATTGCCGTACAGGCAATTTTTCACAAGCGGCACCATCCAATCCACGGCGGCACCAATTACCATCGTATCTATTCTAATTGTTAGCATATAGGCTATAATGTTAGGATGTTGCAAGTTCAGGCTAAGCGGTATGTGTGTTTCATTAAACTAATACTATCTACCTTCACGGTGTCGGGGGCAAATAACGAGAACAAAAAGAGTCGAGTGAATATTTGACGCCAGGTTGATTACTACTACAAGAAGACAAAGGGGTATTTTCTTAAATGTGTACGTACATTTTTACTACGTCACGACCGTGAGCTTATGCTAAATCAAAGGTATTCAATTAGTATCGCGAAACGATATCGAGTTTTTCTAGCCAACGGTTACGGTAGCCATCAGATAATAAACCAGTGCAATAAATCTAAACTATGCAAATGCGCTTATAAATACGCTAGCGAAAAAGTATACGTACGGACGTAGATCATTACGATGTTCTGTGTCGTGGATGAAAGACACACTGTGAATAGAAAAAGCGCGCGCTAGTATTATGAGTGGAAAGTCAATGTTTAGTTATTATTCCATCGTATACTTAATACAGCAATACGAGGGAACGGAATAATTTATAATTTCGTCAATGGAACGCTGCTATCAAAATGCTATAGGTAAACGCGCTACAATTCAACCGTTGATACTTAACGATTTGATCAATGAATACTTGATATTAACATGTGAATGTAATATGTAGGTGTATTATTTATAGCTTACGAAGTAAATGTAATATAATTTAATATAAGCCACGCATGAGACTACGTCAAAACAAAAATCAATGAAACCCATATCAAACGAAGTATTTTTATTGGCTAAAAAAAATTGTCGCCTACTATTACATACACATACACAGTGTAATGTTGAATATTGGTATGAAATTCGCTCAGGCTATCTGATATCTATCAGGTGATCCGATGTAGCTGTAGGATATCTAAGAGAAGACCGAATCTCTGCTCGTTTGCTGAGGTTCTTCACTTTTATCTGAGGTGACACTCGAATCCTACCTTGTATAAAGTAAGAGAATTCGATGTTGCATTTACAACAGCTTCATTGTATTATAGTAGCGGGTAACGGATATTCACTAGTATACCTGCAGGTAAACTTGTAGTTTCCACGAGGACATTGCATAAACGGGGCGCTTGCGAGTCAGATACTATCGATTCAACTTCGGCTTCTAAATTGCCCAAGCTAAAATCGAAGTATTCATTGATAGATTGCTTATTTTATATGTAATATAACGGACGAAAGCTTGGTAACGCGACCCCATTCTCAAGTCAAAAGGATTTTTTTAACAGACCGTTTAGTAGAAAATGACTCCGCACAATGTGATCGATAGCGCTGGATACGTTGACGAGGATTGATTTATCCTGAGCTAAACTTCGAGGAACTGGGCTTCTTCGAACCCGCTTCGTAGAAGAAGTTGGCTTGCTTTAAATTGACTCTACAAACTCCGATCCCTAGAAACAAATTTCCTGCCGTAAGCACAGCTTTGCACCTCTCCTTTATTCAGGTATTTACGAACCGCTTGAATTTGTCAGTGCAACAGTCGAATGATATCCTAACACAAAACACTATAATAGTTTGTGTGCTTTAAAATGGCTAGACTTTTCGTAGGAAAAACTTCAAATTAATCTTAGCTCGCCTCGCTTAATAATGATGCATATAAAACCGTTAACGCTATATATCGATCCATGCTTACTTGGTATGACCGAACGCTGGCGTTTGAATATAAATTAATCTCGAGTCTCGGGCAAACTGATCTCGAACAATGACGACTGGAAACGAATACAGTGTTAGAACGTAGCCATAATGATGACAATCTTCATAACTTCGAAAACTGCTGCTGAACTTCGTATTCTAAATAACTACTTGGTACACGCGCTAAGTCACGTGTCCTCGTGTTGTAGTTAACATCAAACGAAACTTAGCCCTTCCCAGCCATATAATAGAAATCATCATAATAGTAATAATTAAGTTGTCCAATTGAATTTAGTGATTGTCCATAATAGAAAGTAACTGGCACCTGACGTTCTTCAACGTTCGCCTTTTCTAAGAATAGCTAGAGGGACATAGATTGAAATATATAGTGAATGCATTGAAAAGCTGCCGTTTTCCAGTACATTCACAATGTTTATGTAACGGAACGCGTGTCTATAAGCATCGTGTTTCTTATTTTTCAGTATATACTTATATTTGAAAATTCTATTTTCCTCACGGCCAATCTACATTCGATTGAGAAACATTATCGACCTAGCAATGGGTAACTGTAGTCTACATTGATAGATGCGTTATTTGTATATCTATATATGAAGTCGCCTAGCTTCCTTCAAGTGTCGCTGGACCTTGCTAATAAATGCCATACCGTCAGCGAGTTATACTCGCGCAGAGCAGGTACCTATCGAATAAATTTAGCTACATCTATTATAATTCGACGAGGCTATATGGTGCGGTATTTTTTTGCGGGGTGGGGATCATCTTCTTTATTTACATTTTCCATCGTTCTATATACACCAACGCATTATATATAGCGCTACTGTCTGTTACAACTACAATGATTTTGTCGTCCTGCGTTGATCTGTTGATTCCTGTTCTTTCCTTTCGCTAACACGCGCTACTGCTATGTATAATTCATTACTTATACTCATTACGTATACTTTACCCATCGACCCATACAAAACGTATCGCAACCTTTGCGATTAAGGTGGCGCTTCAGTCGGCTCTAACAAACATGGCGCCACATCCAGCTACTTTAATGCTGACTATGTGTTTATCACAACGTCTTCTAACCAACAAACATTGAGGAATCGTTTGGAACGACGGAATTGAGGAACATGAGGAACGAAAGTTTGTTAAAGTTACAAAACGACACACTAGGTTCTGTTTACCAATAAGCACGCCTAACTGAATGCGACATGAGAACATAGTAGTCGATCGTATTGTAAAGTTAACTTCACCTCACATATACTTTACCAGACAATAAAACTAGCGAATAGCCGATACAAATAGAACAGTAAAATGAGACATTGAACTGAATAGATACAGCTTCGCTGAATGCGGCTTGGCGTTGCCTATAGCATCTTATTATAAGCTCACGTTTTCGCATCGCACTGCTGCAACTTAGATGCCACACTGAGCCAGCCAGTAACTTAAGACGGTCGCCGATGGCGTTGCGCGATATCGGACTGCATAACGTTTCCGTTTATCGTTCTATGTATACTAGTTCTTTGTGTGTTTCTGAATAGATAATATGCAGCCTGACTCCTTCGCTTTGACTGTGTTTTACTCCGCTGTCTTCTCTATTAAGGGTGGTAGAGGCCATCAGCTGTCAGATTACTACCCTATTATTGCCTATGAACTGAGCCACTTCCGTACACGGTTTAGCTGGTCGGTGCATTACTAGATGCCACTGGGCGAGACACGGCTACTCAGTCGGCGATCCCGCAAATCTGACGAACATCAACCGTGTCCAGAAAATCCTCGAAAAGTCGGCGACGAAACCTCATCAAGTCAGTTTATGCAGAATCCCAATATAGAGTGACTAGTAGCTTACAAATAGCCGTTTACGACCTACAACAACATCAACAAGCTCCTTCGTTGGGCTATGGGTGCGTGACTATAATTGGCGACGATAATCCAATGACTCGTAACGGGGGGCTTCTCTCTCTTCGTATTATGTCGACCAATATAAACAGCCCGACATTCGAAACGAGCCCACCGTGTGTGTGTGTTGTCTGATAATAAACAAAGACACGATTTATGAATGCCACTGCAGATGTTATAGCAATGCCTTACTCTTGAGCTGGACAAATGTTCTGTTACCTAGTAATATAATTGTTACCTATTCTCGATCTTCCTCACCTCAAATAGGGTATGATGGTTTATTAAGCGTACTTCATATGATAGTTGACAAGCAGCAAAACAATATGAGCGAGGATATTTACGTTTCTTGATTACAAATCTATGGCTTCGGTTTCTGGTCGTTGTTATCCAGCTATGGCCAGCAGCGACATACGCTTGTTTATCTATAAATATGCGCTAGAGATAGCGGAGTATATCTAAGCTTTAGTTTCGTTGCCTTCGGATCTTCCGAATGACGTTTTATAATTTCCTATAAGCTATTTTTATCGCTGTTATTGGTGGAGTCATATTTATTGTTTTCTAGTGTAAAATCTAGCTAATGGTTAGCTATCTATCTTCAGTAATACGTAATAGTAGAGTTATTTTAAGTTCTTCTACTCTGAAGCGTGCAACACTTTACCAATCGTTCATCCGAAATGCTTTCACAGAATTTAATGTTTGAATAGCTTCTTCGAGATGATATTCGAATGGCGTTTCTTCATAAAGCATGCACCATTGGCCATATTAATCAAAGAAGACTAATAGTAAAACTACTACCAATATGTTTTAGCTGCCGGAAAATGTACACAAATTTATATTGCTTATAACAGATGTTGGCCGTCATAACGGATAATTATCCATATAAGTGTCACTTATTATTTTTGCTTCAAATGAAGATAGATAGCCCATATCTTCGTGCTCTGGCTCGATGATAATTACGAAAAAAAAGCCAAATATTTAAAAAATGCTAAATAAATTTTAAACTTTTCAAATATCGGAGACCGCAGTTCCTGAGAAGACTGTTTACACAAGGACTAATTCCATAGTAAGCTTTATCTACTATAAAAGTTACAAAAAAAACCTCTCTTCCTAGCAAAACGCAGATTATATATGTGTGTGTTGCAAGTTCCTACCGCATGTACATAGGCAATTTAAATTGCTCATGTTATTAACGACAGGAACCGCAGGAAACTGCACGCGGCAAATGTCGTGGTGCACGCAACCAGTAGGACTAGTGGTTCGCGGAAATTGCTAATGCTCAGGTAATAATAATGTTGTTTGCAAATGGCAGGACCAGTCAACTCTTCTTCATTTTCAATAATGCCTAGACGCTTCTTTCCACAATACCTAGCTCGGATGTCGGGCAACCTGTTCGTGTCCTATTTTCGTATTGTTCCTATTACTGTTATCACGCAAGTTTTACACGCATGTCTTTTTGAAGAATTTTTAGAGTGGTCGAGCCTGATATGATTTCCCGGCCTCGTTTTGCAATAAGAAATACAAGTTCAGTTGGACTCGCCACTTATTATACGCGCAGCATTCGCCTTACGCCTTGCAACAAAACCATCCGACAACCAAATCGAAGGTCCGCCTTGTGTGATATCTACGTTTTTTAGCGCTCGATTCGTAACCTAATTTACGCACGTTTTTCGGCCTTATTATTTTGTTTTATCTACGTTTTAGTATGCGTTTGTATCCTGATCGACTTGCGACCCATCTAGAGCTGACGACACGGTATTTTACGTCGGTTATGGTTCTTGCTGGATATACGATACTGTTCTCTGTCACTATTAGCTAAAAATGTATGTTAGCCTTCTAGTTGTGTGCGTGTATGTAGTACTATACTTTGTTTTACATGCTGCGGTCGGTGTCTACCCGACGACGGCAATGGGCAATAGTGAGTGCACGTATCACCATCTATTGTAATGGACTTCCAATGTCTCTCTAATATTATCATTTTTGTCGCCATATTATGACTACGATCATTACTATATATAATTATTTGTTGTTACCAGAAGCTTATGTACATCACAACTCTCCAGATCACAAACGGTAGCTTGGTCTAGTGCACACAGATCGTATCGCATAATATTGTCGCACTGAAGATCGATTAGACGGGGAAGCGAGCATTAAAGCGAGAGCTTCACCTTCTGAACTTATTATCACCAATAAAATTAGCTCCTGAATGCGTATCGAGAAAGTGCTAGTAGCTGATATAGAACACGTTGAAAATGACCTTCTAATTATGGGCTAGCGTTGTGTTGATTCTTATACAGTTCTAGCATATCATATTATTTAGGCTAAGCGGTTTTCCTTGATCGGATCATTTAGGTACACTTTACAAAACTACATACGTATGAGGATACCAGTCGTAGTATACGCAACTTAAGAACCTGATTAAGTTCTCCATTCGGCCTTACGACTAGCTGACCTAGCTGATGGAAGGAGAAAATTATTGTTGTATATTTCAGCGTGTTAGAATTGCATATATATATATATATATATATATATATATATATATATATACTTGTCGACTAGCCAGCCCAAACGAGGCAACTTCTATCGGATAGGCGGCGACCGCCGCTTACGTCTTGTAGGCACCCATGCAGACATTGGACAAACACACAGCCTAGTTATAATGCTTATTTATAATACTAATAATAACAACGTTTCATAATGGCGATTTTCGAATACGCATGTATATATATACTAAAACACAGTTGTGTTTACCTATACGTATATAATTGTCCATAACTATATACGTGTTTGGTGTGGTACCAATCGATGATGGCACATGGTCGGATGGATCGTCTGAGTAAAGTTAGTGGTCGCTCGCCAGCGTCCGAATAAAAATGCCTGCCGCCGAAGATCGTTATTGGTATTTGTTGCGTCGTTCTATGTCCGGATCGTATAAAAACAGTGAGGTGAGTCGGTTGCAATGGTTGTATTCGTTATTGTACTATATCTGCATTACGTTTATCCGATACTTTTCATGCGGGTACGAATGTGCCCGTGCATTCTGTGTTCATCATACTATTAATAGGCACGCTTTCAGAGATTTCTTCCCGCTTTATCTCGCTTCCCCCAATTTCTTTGCGTATAAACCTCGTATTTCGCTAGCCTCCCGCCGTCTCGACGTCCCGCTTTTATATCTGCTTCCTTTACCATTGCAACCATGTGCATAACTTTGTTGTACTAACGCTATAAACAATAATACTATTATATTATTTTTTCTACTATTATGCAGCATTACTATGTTTGATAGTTGACAATAGTTGTACGCGTGGTGGCTTTTTTGAGGTAGGGACGCCGCTTTGTGTATGATTTGATCCCTTTACTCTCGTACGAAACAGATGACGTACCTACACAGTCCCGCCAATTCGGGGCGTCGCCTTTCCTAGCATCTGTAGTAATTCTTCTCTGACTTATAAGAGACTCACTATTGGCTTCTATTGTGTGACGTAACTCTGCATCAGCATATAGTCACTACATGCATATGGGTGGTAACCTATTACAATGGGGCTCAGTATATCGCCAGTCGTCGCTTCCAACTATCGCGTGTCGCGGGGGGTTTTCATCCTGCACAAAATACGTCCAGTCGACAGCGTATAACAGACAGCTGTGGTAACGTTCGTATTTCGCCTCGGCAATCATCGCTTTCGGTTAGTCTGTCGTATTCGTATCGGGCGCACGTTATCGTCGTTGTTACGTATTTTGCTCTGTATATGCACGCTGATAGCATTTCTCAGCTTGACTGTCTGTTGTTTGTGCAAGCCAGTTTATTGTCTGTGTTTATTGTTTGCGGACTTCCGTTGTTGTTGGGTTGTCGATGGACCAATTCAACGTTTCAACAATAAATTGACTGAATGACGGCGAGTGGCAGTGACCTGCAGCGATCTTTGTACACACGGATCGACTACCCTACAACCTGGCAAGCCTTCCCAGGCGGCGACGCAGAGATGGCTTTTACCCGAGCGATTAACAAACGACAGATCGTGATGGGCAGAACTTTATTATTATAAATGTAATTAACAAACCATCTCTATATATATCGCTGTTTCACTTGAGTCTTTTTGGATTGTACATGTACGCGCGAACATCGAACATTTGGGAAAAAGTAACAGGCTTCGTGTACTGACAACGAATTCAATTTAATGTCACGAGTAAAAAATCAGATCGTTTGTACCTCGTACGTATAAGACTGTCCAAGATGATAATGACCGTTCGTATGGAAGTAGGTTTATCGGGAACAAGAAAACGCGAAGTTCAGTGCGCTTCGGATAAAGGACCTTGCCTATGCTCCGTTTATTGTTTGAACTTCACGATACCCAATAAACGAAGCCAACCTTGCTTACTCCAACGAAACCTAACGTACACAACAGATGCCTTGTTTCTCATAATTATCATTTTCTTTTCCTTGTTTCTTTTTATCCTGTTCGTATATTTACTACATTTAATATACACCACTATTTCTCGTTATCGAGAGTAACTAACGCCGGAACGCGGTACCACCGTCTGTCTGAGCCCTCACTCATATGGCCTTCAGGTGACGTTGCAGAGTTAGCAGTGGGGTTCATCCCTCGACCTGGGCTGTCACTGGTGGGACGGACATTTTTCCTGCCACACTTCTCAGCCGAACGTGATGAGATCTCATGACTAGATGGTGCCAGATTCCTTTTTGGAATTACACAGTCGGTTTTCTAACCGATGGACACCCGGCTTGTGGAGGGCCGCTCGAGATCGGGTTCAGCCTCCTCGGGGATGTCTATCGACATAAACGATAACGGTGTCTGAGGTCCCGGCGACGAGCCATGAAGAGGGCTCGAGTGAACCGACGAACATACCTCGGACGCTGTAAAATTCACCGCTCGATTTTAGAGCCATATCTTATAGGGTTGATACCCTTAGCGAACGGGGCCAAATAGATTATCGAAGGGCAATCTATACCAATAGCAGTAACAGAATCCACTCTTTTTTAGAATTTCTAATTTCAAATCGAAAATTAGCTTCTGCACATTAAGCAAGTAACACCAGTCATTACAATGTAACACATGGGGAGAGTCTATCTTCTTTAGTACAGTTAGTTTATAGCCATTGATTACGAAACGATATCGTCTAATTGATAGCACGATACAACAAAACAAGCAGAACGAATTATATCATCACACGTTTATGCCGATTAACCACAGATAATAAGAACTGGCAAAGTGTTAGGAACAAATTAGATTTGTGATGACAGCGGTTGTCAATCATTCGGAGGGTTCGGGTGTATTTTCAATAGGGCAGGAAAAAGAAAAGGGTCACTATGAATAAAGCCATGCATTTCAGCCTCATCTCTTTCCAACATCATTCATACAACTCTGCGTAGACGTTAGTGCTAGCCTAGATCAATTTCAATACATTCAGTAATAGGTTACTACCATTAGCATTCTACAGATTGTGCACCCCTGTTCAATTCCTGTTTTGCCCTATTATCGTTAGGAGCCAACCATTTGTATTCGTCAGTTGACATTACTGTTGCAAATACTTGTGGCGCTCACGTCCCCTAAGTATCTATATTGAATCGGTCGATAGAATCCCCACGTATAAAGCTCAATTTATGTATACTGTAATGTCTGAGAGTATATACAAAATCTATGTTTAAATTGACACGAAAACATCCTATTTCTACCTGAGTATGTATGCGTATGACTACGGTGGCAATAACGGCAACTAAAATACGCTTGAGGGAACTCAAGGGAGAAGCTCTATAGCGCTTCATTTGACTTCGGTAAGCCAATGTTCTATTGTGAAAACTTTTTCCAATCGTAGTTGTGAGATGCCGTGCAAGGTTTGAGAGCGACGGCTTTGATATCAAGCAGCGAACGTTCTTCCCATATATATTCGTCGATAGATGATAAGAGGACGGGAGCTTAGAAAGTATATATGTATATATATAAGCATGGTACGGCTCAGACTCAAGAATTTAGATCGGAAAAATGGTTCCGGATGCATCTGGAACTTTATTGTACGTATGTCCGCCGCGATTTCGCCGTCGATCAGCAATCTTTGATAACCTGTTCTTGGAACAACTGCTCTGTCGACCTTCGCCGATTTGTAACATGCTGTCTGCTCCAGCCAAAAGCAAGTAAATGAAGGCGTTGGAGCACTATACTTGTAATCTTTAGAGCAGCTTTTCTAATGAAGTAGTATCTTTATCTTTTGTATATATGAATTTTGTAACCGGTGCCTCTTTAAATAGCTCACTTAGTCGTTCTTTCTTTCTACTACTAATTGTCCTTAGGGATCACCGAAGAGAATAACTCTTATCGGCGTAAATCCGGATGTACAACTTTCTTCTGCTCACTGCGCATCTCCGTTTTTCCGCAGTGGATTCACACTCACTCGATCATATCGGTGCCAACAATGGCTTGTCTATCTTGTGCATGGAGAACTAGTTCGCTACCTTCTGTCGACCGCGTCATTGAACGCAATTGTCGCTCGGAGCTCAGCTTGGGACGATCTCGGGGGTTTGACGCCTAGGAACGGCTTCCGGCCCCATGTTGCTAAACTGCTAATGCATTATGCACAAATCAAGACAGCGTGGGCAAATCTGGGCATGATCCGATGCCGTCAATGTGTGAGAAAAACGTGGAAAATGTTCGGTAGTGGGCAAGCGATCGGCAGCGTCGAGGACAGGGACCAGTAGCGTCCGCTGCTACTGCAAAAGCAAAAGTGAAGCCAGCGACGAGTCTACAAACACCCTTTCTTCAAGTCGATGTTGCCTAGCCAAGCGTTCGTCTGCGCCGCTGTCGGATGGAGTTACAAACCACTCAATGTTAATTCCATGTGCTACATATAGATGTAGAATTCGAGAGCACCCCAGACCTCTGTGCGAAGAGGTATGAATGGAGACCATCTTCCCTCGCCTTTCGCTTCCCGCTTGTTGGTTCGGTCATCCTCTGATACTATATGCACCTTAGCATCAATTACTATCGGGTAACTATTAATAAAGGCTGTCTAGCAAGGAAGTCAAACAGAAGGTCAACACACGAGCCAATACAGATACGACAAAATAAGGAACATGGCAGTTTACGGTAGAGCGCAAATAACAGAGCTAAAAGTTAAAACCGATGGCAAAAATGATCATCTCGTTAGTAACGGTAGCGCTCATGAAGCCATATGCAGCATATTGACGATGAATCGGATGAGGCTAATATTACTTCACTGACATTTTGTAATGATTTGTCTACGAAAAAGCTTGAAAAATATGGAAAATAACTAATCCGGGTACTGACGTCGTCACCTTTCGACTCGACATGAAGTAGTTGCATGCACGCTAGCTGGATTTTTCATAGTACAGAATAACATTCAGATTTTGTTTCGTGCATCGAAACTAACTAGCCATATGTAAACAATTATTCTACATCCAAGTAAAATAAAAAGGAATGAACTTTTACAGCGTAATTTTCCTACACTTGTGTAAATTGTACGCTATAACAATTTGTGATCCGTCTAATAAATGTCGATGATTCCATTAGAGAATACTGCCCTATATATCGATTATTCTGTGAGATTATGGGTGCTTGCTTCTCATGACAACTAAATCATAGAATCTAAATAAACGACATCGTTCGTTAACACAAGAACGTGGCTTTCGTGGTGCGAAGGGCCCTGTAGATTACGGCTTGGAGTTCGTACCTGGGATGTATTCGGCATGCTGGAAGCCCCTTGGGATAATGATGTGCGGATGAAATGCGTGTGACCCCTGGCCAATTATTGAGGAGGCGGCCGAACCGGGCCGTGTACCCACTCCTCCGGAGTAGATCGAAATTTCGTCGGCGTCTCCGTGACGCATCTGCCACCAACTTGCCTAGAGAAAAAAAAGTAGCAGAGTACGTCGCTGATCAATGCCGAACCTTATGGTGAACAAACTAATTTTTTAGACAGACGATTTTTCCCGGCTAAAATGGCGAGTGGAACAGGAAAAGAAAAAGCAGCGAATTAAAAAAAGTCATACGGTTACTTTCATGCGTACCTTACCATTCACAGTCGTTGTAGTACACCCAGTATGCAGTACGCTTTATGTGAGCAACTGGGAATAAGTTAGATCTTAAAGAAATCAGTGTACGAATAACCATTTATCAATACGTACATGGTCGGTAAGCTGGACAACAAATAGTTAGCTAACTCGTAAATGACGACTGGCGTTTCGTCATGGTAGCCACTATGTGATGGAGCCATTCATATCGTTAAACCTTACGGCTCAGGGAGTCGTGCCATACTAGGAACGATCCTTCATTAACGTTATAAGGAGGTCGGGAAAGTTGCTTGAACACATATGTATATAACAATATTGGCAGTTTTACCCGCAACCGATTTAGTCACTTTGCTTGCCACCAGATGGCCTACAGTGATGGTAGCAATGCGGAACGAGGCGTAACCCTGTCCTGCTAGAGACTGCAGGATTGGATATCGTTGCCCCATCTGAAGCCGTCTCCATCAGGCGGTCGTTATAATTGCTCTATGCGAACTACTGTAGCTATCTGACAGTAATAATGGGGCCTTGACCGTTTGTTTCTACGACGTAATCTCGATAATCTGTTGTAGACCAAATACGACGAAAAAATCCACATGTGGGTTGTGTTTCTAACGCAGTTTAGATTAGTATCGGATAAAATATCGTTCCCGGTAAATACAGTGCAGGTCGAGACATCTGTTTGCAGCCATTACGACTGATTTCTTAATGATTTTGCGTTTCTTCGCATTCTACGTGCGACTTTACGGGATGCTTAGGGAACGAAAAGCGTCTGTCTGCCTATCTAGCCTGTCTCCTATAAATGGTGAAGACCTATTGTGTTGCGCTATCAAATAAACAGAAGCGCTAAACCTTAGAATAGCCAGTACAAATACCACGACAGGAACCAATGCAAATCATTGGTTAACTAGACGAAAACCGCGTATAGACAACAACTTAAATCTATAACAAATGAACTATTTTATGAAATAATACTACACACAGAGATTGGAGCAGGCAGACTATTTATCATGTTGACATTAATAATTATATGAATATTATATATTGAGATACGAAAGTCACCTTTGAGACAATCTGGACCGCATTAAACCGTAGCAGCTTCATCCATGTGAGAATTTAAGGTTTACCTTTTCAAAAAGCGTCATTCTATCCAACGGAGCACTATGCTAGTACAAGGCTAAAAATTTTTTCACGGATTTTCCTAAGAAACATGCCGTAACGACAATTTGATAAACCTCACTCTTGGGTTTATCAAATCAGGTTGGGTCTGCCAATTTCCAAACGCTCGCATGGTTTGTTCGCGTACACCACGATCTCGGGGTATCAAACTCCCGAATGCAGGCGAAGCGAGTTGGTGGAAATGACTGGTTTTGCGGGCCTGCGAATTGCGGAGAGCAAAGACATATTTGGATATGGTTCTCGAGACCTTCAGCCCGTCTGAACATTAGTTGTATAAATGTGATCGCCAATGTCCCACTCGTACTTTCCTGCGGGAAGGTGTTCGCAACACTAAGACGGACGTGAAAGCGATCCCCCCTTCTAATAAATAAGTTTTGCTTGTTCAAGATCTCCCAAGCCAGTATACCTGCATGATGTCCGCTGGCGGTTTTGAAATAATCGAACTTCTAGTCGTCTAAGTCTAGTTTCTTATAGTCGACAAGCTCAATAACTGAATCCCGAGCAAGCCATATTATTAAGGAGATTTCGATTTATCAAGAAAATCCGTTTTTTGTAATTGCCATGTGAAGTCTTTGGGGGATACATTTTATAACGAAGGCAGCTATGTACATGACGGCTCATACAAGACCCCCAAGTATTATCGTTCAGCTTGACGAGTTCATAAGCTTATCTCGAGAAGGCGCGTGTGCTTTTTTGTACAGCGTCGTAACTTCGGGCTTACACGGCTTATGTCAGGAAGTACTTGTGAATTTACAAGATTTGTGAAGTTATTACCGCCGATAACGAATAGAATAATTTTCTCCTGACTTTGCTGGCTCCCTTAAGCTGGGCGGGAAAGCAATGCGGTCATCTCGCAGCTAATTAGTACGTGATATCGATTTTGTCCTATGCATGATTGCAAACAATTTACGCAATGGAAACGCAGACTTTAGATAACAAAATTTAAGCTGTGTTGCGCAACGGCACCACTGAACGATCGGCCATCCTGTTAGCCTTTGCCGATGTTCCCGAAAAAAGGATGAAACAATGGTGTTCTATACGATCACTAAGCAAAATACGCTTCTTATTGACTATGTCATTGACGCTGTCCCAGGTATCCACTGTTTCAGTATTTTGTTCGTGATCAGCGGTTAGTGGCAGATCAGCATGCATTCATCATGTGACCGGTAGAAGCGGTAGAAGATTTTTACGACACTGTTACAGGAACCATGACTCACGGGGGTGCATCCGTCCAGTATTTTTGGCGTATTGGTAGAATTTTTTGTTTTAAGCTCTCTGATAGCCAAGGGTCATAGATGGCTAGCGCAAATACTGTCTGGAACGAAGTAACAAAAGTCTGGACAAGACATCGTTTGAACTGCTTTTTGACTGCGAAGCCGTGGTTGTTTGTCTAAGATGTCTCTATTGTGGGCTCTTTGCTATCGTGAGCAGGGTAATAGCGCATTGTTGTTGAGCCGCTACCTCACAAGGTAAGCAGCTGACCACTAACGAAAAGGATTTACATCTGTGTGTTGGATATACACCTCAGTAGCGACAAGTAGAGGTTTAAGATATCCTTTAAAGGCATTGCCTTTAAGAAAGCGATTTTAGCAGAAAGGTAACATCTCCCTACCGCTAACCTTTTCACAAGGCGGATCCGTTTTTTCCAAAGTCGATACTGTTATTAAATGAAGCATCCTAGATACATAATTTTCTTTTCTTGGATTAGATCCCTTTCAACTTAGATACTTAAGACTTAACCTAACCGGATATTACCTTTCATAGTTCAATAATATTGTCATTGAAAGTGTTAAGCGATAGTACAGCGTATGAAAACTTGAAGATATCGGTCGATGAGATATCGGCCAGAGGCAGTGTCCTACGTATGACTCCATATTTCGTTAGAAGTTCAATTTCATCACTAAAAAACTGATGAACTGTTCGTTTGAGGTGTAATATGGGACAGGGCAGCGTCTGTTAGACTGAGTGGATCTAACAAGAGCTAAGTCAGCAAATCGTTGTCTTTTGCCATTTTAGATTTAAATACTGGGAGAAGTTTATAAAAGTAAGACTAATTTTTGGTTGTTTTTATTTTATCAACATTATTCCATAGACGGGCTCCAAGCAGATCGACGGCCAAAAATTGATTGGAAAAAGAAAGTAACCTTTTCTATTGGCTTAAAAATGGATCAGTTTTTTTCACTTCCTGAGAACCAGTTGTAACAGCTTTGGTAGAATGGCTTGCGTTCTTTACTAGAAAGCCAGATATGCTGCTCAGAGCTGCGTACACTGATCTCATAATGAAAAAGATAATTGTTGACGTTACTTAGTATTTTCTTAGTATCCTTTGTAACGACCTTCTAGTGTCTATGATGCCAATTGAGCCCCATATGCTGGATCTTCATGGTCGAATTAACAACTTTCTCTTGACTGAGCCATCAGTGCCTCCGAGGTCACATATAAGGCGTATTTGAGCGTAAAATCTAACAGAGCACTTGCAGTAAATAGACGTTAACGATCAACGATATACTTATTATTATAAGTAATAAAGTTATTATAATAATAAATATAACTTAGTCTATACGGAGATAGATACCTTGAAAAACCCAATAACAATTGACCGCATTGTCTCTTGGTGTGATGGAAGTCGAATAGAGATATCAATCCCACAATGCAATGTCTTAAAGGAAACTTCGAAATCACATTAGGTACACAATGGAAACCGGCTTGCCCATCAACACCTTCAATCTCAGTGCAAAATAAATCCACATATAAGCTATTATATGACTATATAATAGTATATATATAAATATAGGTATAGGCTGAGTTGTTCTGCCGATGTTTGGATGGTCTTTTAGGAAAAAAACGGTCGCTGCACAGCTCAGGCTAGATTTGCGAAATACGCTATTTAACGGTGCGACATTTTCCAAGCCCAAATGATTTTTTTAGACATTTTATGAAAGGGGCATAAAGCGTTCGCAAAACATTTTACCTAGGTCTGGCAGGATTTCTGTGCATGGTCTAAACATAAACGCTACCGTAGACACGATAGCACTAGCAGCACTTCAGTTGCGGGCAATGTATTTCCTTGTTACGAAGTTAATTCGATTCGAGATTATATTTTTCACGTGTTTTACTTAGTTTTGGTACATCAAGAAATCCTCAAATTAGCGCTTTTATTAAGGACTGACATAGTAACTCCATGTTAGCAGGAGGCGTTTTTTCAGGGTAATAAGACCTAAAACATTTGCGTATTGTTTATACTGCATTCTGTCAGAGAAACTCACCGGCAACGGTGATGCGCTCGTTTTTCTGTTGGTTGTCCAAAGGTATAAAAACACTACTGCTTTTGCGATGTCCTCTCTACACTAAAGAACAGTGCCAAAGGACTCTATAGCTAGGCGAACTTAGGGGAAGTTTGCCTGTGTGCTCGGATTGTGAGCTGCCTATTCTCACGTCAACGGGCTCAAATGAGAAATTTTTCTGGTAGGTTGAAGCGTTTTTGGTTCCAACTACGTAGCGAACTTCCGTATCTCTGCGGTGCGTCCAGAACTAGGCTTGCTACGACGATATGTTACGTGGATACTTTCTAGGCCTTGTTAGCAGACGCATAATCGCATGCAAGCTATTTTAGGTATATCTAGCGAAATCCTAAGATTAGGGTAGGAATTTCCGACATATTCTATGTTCTACACTCTGTATATTCTCACAACTGGCAATTGTGTTCCTGTGACAATTAAGGCGATGCTGTGACCAACTCTATTAAGGGGTTCGTAAATGTGTATCCTTTGCTATGTTGTCAAGTCAGCGCTGAATGTACTAAAGCTATTTAACGAAACGCGAAGCTATTCGTCTAAATATAGAGACAGACAAACACGATGGATGCAAGCTACTTCAAGGTAGAACAAACAATGTACACGAGAGATATCTTCTACTCGAGAAATTTACTTTCTGTAAAACAACACTGCGTGTGATGAATAGATAGTGCTAAAAGAAGATTTTTATACTGAACGCAAGACGAGTTAGGAGCGGGCCCTTGTTCGAAATACAGCTAAGTGTAGCTTTATGGATTCTTCCAACAAATTGCTTACGAAGTTTCCAAATGTTATGAGCTGTTACGTTGTTTATATTTCTACTCAGAGCATTAGCTATTTGCTGTAACTCATTCTAAACGTTGGTGTAAACAAGTGATTTTTACGAAATGAGCTTCGCCTCAGCTGGCAAGGCACGATATCGTTCTCGAGAGAGCAGTATTTGCAATGAATACAGGCGCGTACATGTGGCGCCTTATAGCTTGCTTTCCTCGATGGCGTTCTCATGCCCAGAACATTCGTGCTCGACAGGACGTACCCTATGAGCGGAGGAGGCGATGGTGGGTCTTCGCTCCACCGGGGGCTGTGGGTTGTAGTAGTAGGCTGATCCGACGCGCTGCAGAATAAGGTCGTCAATCTCGACTATGGGAGCCGTCTCTTTAATGCTTTCGAATATTTTATCGTCCAGCTTTACTGAGCGGCAGTAGAACGCAATCAAGAAACACGTGCAACAGATCCCAATGCCTGCGATGGAGCAAAAGCAAATTTGCAGGTTAGGAAGTCGTCTAGAGCCAATAATACCTACATGTCCTTGCGTAGGAGCTTTTAGTCCGGGTAGAGTCTTCTGAAATATAAATAAAATCTTAAAACAATTAAATAGCTAACTGCAAAAATGTTCAGCCCTGCCGTATACTTGCCTATTTGGCCTTCAGGTATCTATTGTTCGGCTTGTTGTATTTATTTTACGTTACTACTTTAGGCACAGGCTTGAACCGTGCACGCAACCAACTCCCGGCACAGACGGACTATTGGCTTCTTTTTGCATAAAAGTGTAACACTTTTTAATGAAGCAATTAAGGGGCTGTCCGAATAGCGCGTGATAAACCTTCAATGCACAAGACAGTCCCTGATAAACCTTCCATGTCATTAACAGTGTCAACAGAGACAGGCAGCAAAAGTTTTTCTGAGCGTAGCTACAACTACTAAAGACTACCGTAGCGGCTACTATCAGTGCATGCATATATTTGTATCGGAAAGATTACACGTTTTGTCATTTCAAAATAATCATTGAGTGTACGCATGGAACGCTTATAAAACACAATTCTGATTTAACCATAGTGGTAATAGGAGCCTGCGTGTTCCGGCTTTGTGTGGCCAACTTTTTTTCGCTAGGACTTCGGTTCTGTCTGAAAATAAGCGGAGTAAAGACCTTCAAAATGAAGTTTTGTGTTACCAAATAATCCACATAAATGTATTATCTTTCGTGAAGCTCCTGCCGTTATGAAGCTGCGTCTTCTGGGACAAAGTGTTACGTTTTCACTTGACTGAAGGTTAACACACACACACACAAACAATTCTATGGAAGTAAGTTAAAATCTATTAGGAAAAACGCCTCGCTTACCAAGTGCTTACTTAGACGAATGGAACATTCTGTATAGTCTGAATAGTACAAATGCAAATCTAGAATACTTCAGTGGTCAAAATGCCGCTTACCATGTTGCAAATACACCTACACAGGCGATATTTTCGACGTTTATATCAGACGTAATGCTACCTTTTCATAACAAGAAATAAAAACATCTCAATGCTAAAAATAGTTGAAACTAGTTTCTGTGACAAATTCAGATATGCCATTGTGAAGGTAACTACATGTCTAGGGCATATTGTTCAAATACTGGGCTAAATTGTTTATGTTCTTCAAAGCTCGAAGAGACTTCATAGTGCTATCATAGTTGGTTCTATACTGAAACCGATATACACGCTAATTCTCCGTCGAGTTAAGTTATACAATCTAACATGACGACCATAACAGAGTGTCCTAAAATCGGCAAAGGATGGCGACAAGCTCATTCAATAGTAAACATAATGAAAATTACAAAACAAATGAGAAACGTCTTAACAGTACCCCATATACAAACTTGTTTGGACGACTGCCAACTAATATGGCTGGCTGAAAGTTCTGCAAAGTATAAAAGATCAGTGACACAGGCCTGATCCAACGGCTTTAACATGTCTACGTTTGTTTTCTGTTCACCCAGATTTTTAACAATATTAAAGTTTGGTGTTAACTTGTTCTATAATAAATAGTCCCTGCTTAGATTACAAGAATTAAAAAAAAAAAAAAAAAAAAAAACGGATAGTACTTATGTCAATTTGTTTCGAGGTTCGAGAAACACAGGAAATGTCGATGATAGATTAATTTATATTTCAAGCATAGGAAAACGTGTAGAGGTTGAAAGCTGCCTTTGGACTGATGACTTGAGACGATGATAATTCATTGTATCTAAAGCAGGTTGAACATCCGTTTAGGGAATAAGTAAACTATCTAGATAAATCTTTGCGACCAACGCTATATTTTGAAAATTCTGGTACAATCTCAATTGCGTAGTGTGCCCCTGAATACTGGCTTCAGTGTAAAAAAAAGCCCAACCAGTTTTACAGTACCAAGAAAACGATCACGAATCAAGGTCACCTAGAATTCTAGATTCCTAGAAATAGGTAGTGACTAACCTAACTAAAGTGATTATATATGTACACATAGCAAAGGACTATCCGTCGAAAGGTTTATTTTGTAAGATTTTAATAGTAAACTATATACAACCTTACAAGCATCTATGTGGCGTTGATCTATCTATTCCACTATTGCGGGGTATTTTTCCATGCTTCTTAAATTCGTGAAAAATGTAGCTCTCGCATACAGCCGATGGCTGCCATACACCTGCTTCCACGCAATTCCTACAAAATTATCGTAAAAATACGCATTTCACATATGAAATACTTCAGTTTGTTCTCTCTGTCCGGTATTTTTTAAGATTCCGGCTAATCACTTCAACCGTATCTAATCTGGCAGGACGACTAGCCTAGGTACCGCGTGTGGGTGAAAGCTGCTCGTTTCTCAAACTATATATCGTATATTAATCGCGCTATGATGTTGACCCTATGCTAGGCTCTTGGCTGTTGCCTCTGGGCACCGCCTGTACCTATCCAGCCAGTCGGCTTTGCCTGAGCAGAGGGCAGAGCCCTGTCGAAGGGGCACGTAGAGCAGTGCTGGTGAATCCAAAAATGGATTATGCAACGGACCAGCTAAATGATGAGGGTCGTCGGGGAGGAGGATTGAGACTGCTACCATGAGAAAGCGAGCTACGCTGGGGGGTAGGCCTCCACGTACAGAGGACAGATGACGCTGTTGCCAGTGCCGTTACAGCTTGATTATAGCTACGGTTGCCGAAAGTCTGGAACGTCTTTCGGTAGATAAGCGAAACTAAGGGATTCTACCCCGTCTTGCATCAGGGATCTAGAGTTCATTTCGCTGATGCTGTTATTTGTACCGAGGTGGTCTAAACAAAGATGTTGCTTAAACTCTTTCATATAGCACTGCGAGGAATGGTGGCGCGTTTGATGTCGACCATATATATGTCTGATACTCATAAGTATGTCTTCTGCTCTCCAAGCAGGCCTTGTCAAGCAGCAGCTGAACAAGATGGCAGTGCCAGCAAGGACACAGCGTCATAAGATGAGCTCAGATCCTGTACTGTTGCTATATCTTGAACTGCCATCCTTGGCCAACCAAATTTAGCGGAGAAACGCACACACGTTCCTTTGACTTCACTTTTTAAGGAAAACGCGCCGCGCGGCTGGGAGGACGGATAGGCAGAGCCAGGTCTGGACGCCTCGTTTCCACAAAGCAGATATCCACTATCGATGCATTGGTGGCGGAAATACAGATGGACTGCAATCTCGATGCTGCATCGAAGAAAGCGTTTTTTTATACCTCGGGAGCTTTTAGGGAGCTACGAAGAGTTGAGCGATCATTAAAGTAGTATACATTATATACATAGATATATATAAAGCAGGTAGCTAGAATCGAGCTTATCTCAAAAGCCGAGTAAGCTGACAATGCTGCATAATCGTATCAGTTTACCTCTGAGATACTTCAGCGTCGAGTGTTTTCATCATCTAGGGTCTAGATAATCAGGAGACCATGCTTGGTAATGCTACATTCTGCTTTTAACAGGAATTTACATTTCTCACACAGCCTCCCTTGACAATTAAATCAGCAACAATTAATAAAACATTACATAACTCATTTTATGGTCAGTTCAGCATTTCGGCCTGGAGACGTGACGCGAAGGCTCCACCTGAAAAGCTGATTAACTATATTATTTACTGTTTCCCTAATTCGTTACGCCGCTTAATATACAATATTATTGGACTGACAACAACTTATGCGATAAACACAGATCATATTTGCTATCTGAAGCAATGCCAAAAACGAAATGAGGCTTGATGTTTTATGAATGACACTGAAGAAATTATAGGTTACTTTGTGTATGAATTTCACACCGACCTATTATTTTATCTTCACTTGTCTCATCCATAGCTACGGCGCATCAAAGTTTTTTTTATTATTAAATGCGGTAACGCAAATACTTCGTCTAGCTTACGAGTAGATTCTAAGTGTTCAGAGCCTACTCCATCTAATCTACGTGGACCATATCTATTCATTTACTAAATATCTAAATTGATGCCTAGCATGGCTTTATTCCATGCCCACACTTTGATAAGGACAGGATGCAAGGCTTGACCGTTACTATAACCTGAACTGAACTTCTGTCCTTCGATATGCTCACAGGCCAAATTCCAAGCTAAGAGAGTCCAAAATGTTTTAATGCGATTAGGCAGAAGACGAAAAGAAAAAGGTGGACAGGGCTCGTTGATTTGCCGGTTTCAACTAACCTAGAGAAAACACAAGGCAAGCTGTAGCGGCTAGGCCTATTCGCCTGATCCCGCATTTATCGAGGCGCAATCTGACCTTGAAAGGCAGGACCGAAAAAGACGACTAGACCGCCCACTCAGTCGAATGAAAACTTTCTGCAACTGTTTACTACGTTTGTGCTGTAGCGGAAAGCGTATAGTTCTCTTATTAAGCTTATCTTTTTTTCCAGGGGAAAACTTCTTTATTCGTCCAGTTTGGTCAACTGAATATTTTCCAGCTTCTTCTTTATGAAATTGAGTAGTGCAATAACGTATAGACTAGTAGGGTTTCTCCTTCGATACTGTAGAATCACGAGGTCATAGGAGATCAACCAGCAACGGTAACTTGGTCCCTCGCTGCCAGCTTTCATCAATGTGGCTGAGAAGAGAAAAAGCCCCTATGGGACTTCCATATTGGTTTTATCGTTTGCTCTCTACTTCTTTTCATGAGAAGCCGGACCAGCGAAGCAACACAGGGAAAAACGAATAAACTTACCCATTGCGCCATATTTTACGGGAACATATTTGAATAAGCTTGTTCTTTTCAATTAATCAAAAGTCATAGTAGACAATGACCGCTCTCAGGCCCATATCGCTAGCATTTGTACGGTACGATTCAATGTAGCTCTAGCGAATCATAATAAACATCTCTTTGCTAAATAATTACTATATTGTGGAACTGGGTATATTTATCGAATATTTTCTTACTACTAGCCTGTACAGCTTCTAGGATTCAATAACCGCAAAATTTGTCGGAAATAATTGCATGA